AAGTCGCTGAGGTCACACAGGAGGTCCGGCTCCCATCTCTGTGTGGAGTGAGAGACAAATGCCCAAAATATAACAATTGTAAACCGCTTTGTGACTCTGGTCTGTGAAAGGCGGTATATAAATAAAGATTACTTACTTACTTACTTACTTCCAGAGCTGTGGTACCGACCTCAGCCTGAGACTCAGGTTGAAGACATGGGGTGGGTTGTTGTTTGAACCACAGGTAGAAAGTGTTCAAGTCGTTAACACTTTGTCTGTCACACACCGAGGGTGCTGCGTCTTGAGGTCACTGGAGAGCAGAGCATCGCATGCACTTTTTGTGTGAATTCTCTGGCTAAAATGGCCTAACCTCTTCCCTGTACGTACATTTGGACATGCGCAGTAGCAGAGAACAAACGTAAACAACAATGACGCCGTGTCAGCTAATGCCAGGTGTGCTTTGAGCGCTACACAGAGGAGAATTCTACTCCTTCATCCAAACAAAACCACAGAATCTCTAGTTTCAGTTTCCATTTTCGCTGCTGCTGTTAAATGCAGATTGATGTTGGTGCATTCTTTCATGTCTTTGCCGTGGCCTGAGGAGGATGTTGTTGAGGAAGTGGTTATACTGCTGGGGGTCGCGTGTGTCATGTTGTTAAGTTCTACTGCCTACTACAGGCCGGGCGCAAAACTACAGTGTTTTCCGTCGCCGGGTAGACGCTAAGCACTTCGAATAAGGAGCCTGGTTGTTTTTGCTAATTGCTTTGAAGCGTCTCCGTCTAAGTGGGGTGTAGAGTCTGTGTGTTTGTGTAAAGTTTGTGTAGAGTCTGTGTGTTTGTGTTGACCTTGTAGTGTTTGTGTGCTTGTGTAGAGTCTGTGTGTTTGTGTAGAGTATTATTGCTCTGCTCTGAGATTCTGCTGCAAACAAATTGCCCTTTGGGATCAATAAAGTTTTCTGAATCCTTTTGATAATCACATTTCTAACCCTTTATTATCAAGATTGTATTGATATATACCAATCTATTACAGCCATTGTACAAATCTTCAGGGGCAGAGTTAGACCAATCACAATGTTTATTATGCCTCCAAACCTCCATTTGCCTTTAGCACTGCCCAGTTTAGCAGCTTTATTTGAAATGATTCTCACCTATTCTCCTTAACTTTGACCAGTCACATACACTGATTTTATTTCTAGGCCATTACCAGTTCTAAAATATACTTCTTCATTTGCTGCTGTAATGACTCTAAATACTTTTTTGGATGTCTGATGGAGGATTGGCATAGGAAGTGCGTCAAAGATTAATTTCCAAACACACCTTTCCCTCTTAGTTGCCAGTCACAAGCTGAATGGAGTAACCTGTTTGCTAAAAGCGCGTCAACAAGCCCATAATAGTACTCAAAAATGCATTTCTAGTTGTGTATTTCAAACCTGCAGGTACACTACAGAGCCAGAAACTGAATTTAGAATGTGCTTTGCCTCTCTTTTCTCCATGTTACAATATTGTTCCTAAAGTTAAACAGACCTGAAGTAGTGTTTAGATAATTCCTTCTATCTAAAAGCACCTGTCTTTGTAGTGTCTTGTAATAGTATGATGTCATAATATTGCCTGTTGTGTCTGAGACTGTTTTAGATGATTCTAAACTTCTGTAAACAAATCAATGATAATGTAATAATGAATAATAGATATTAAAGATTAAATATTTAAGATTCAAGAATGTATTTTGCCGTTTGCAGTAAAACCACATTAAAAAAAACTGTCCAAGAATGGAGTGTGCACCAGGATGGTACACACCAATGTTCTTGCCACGGCGCCATATTTCTGGACACAGGCAACATATTATTATTACTATTATTATATTGTATATAAACTGCATAAATCACCTCTTGAGAATCCTATAATATAGTTTTGGTAGTTTCTCAGGTGAAATGATGGTCTGTATAATCACCATTTTTGAAATTTGGATAAAACCAAAAAGGTCGACACCTCTCTCTGGTGGTGGCATAAGGATAGGGCAGACTGATCGCTTTGTCTTCCACTCATACTTTATATAGTAAAGCATGGATCTATTATAATATCTAAAGGTATAAAGGTATATTTTCACATTCAACATGACAAGACAAATTAAAGTCTCATTATTGTTTTTAGGGCACAAATAATGCATTTTATTTCCCTCATTAAGAAAAAATAATATATATTTTGATGTGAAAAAGGATCAAAGGAAAAGAGATCCATGTCCAAATGTGCATTTAATAGTATTTATAGAGCCTGATTTACTCATCATTGTTACCAGAACTAAAAACATTAACCAACAGTTCTCACTGCATTGTTACGATTATATGCCTTGTATTTTAAAATATGATTAAAAAAACTGCCAATTATGTGGTTGAGAAAAGTGATTTTAAATACCTCTTTTAGCGGCACATTTTTAAACATATTGGAGCTGATGAGTAAATCTTTCAATAAAGTTGCATTCAGGAGAAGCTTGACTGAGCCTTCACACGTTTCTCCAGGGTTTCCGAAAAAGTCTGCGAATGTTTTAGAATCTCTGTGTTCATTACAAGTTATAGTAGTGAACACGCAAATATAAAAGGACGGGATCAAGCCTTTCTGATCTGAAACAGTCCACGTCACAATACTGCCACTCGCTGGTAGAAAGACGCCATTACAGGTAGAAAGAGATGTGTTTCCATTGATCTATTATAAAATCGTGTGTTTCACTGTCAGTATAACAATAGTTCATGTTCACGTCGTCAAAACAAAAATCACAATGCCATCCTCGTGTCTGAGTTTGTTTAACATAATGGGTGTCAAAGTCGAGACCCGGGGGCCAGATCCGGCCGCAAATGGATTATCTTGGCACCCCGGGATGAAATTTCATTAGTATCAGAAACGGCCCGCAAAGAGCCATAAGAAAATATTGGACTATTCATTTTATGTTCAGGACATGTGTTTTCTCTTTGAAGGAAGTTTGTTTGTTATGTGTATTCATTAAATAAAATACAGACCACTGTGTTAGGTCATGGTTCAATAGGTTATATAAAATCATTTTAAGAAGTTTAAAAACATTGAACCAGTCCGGCCCTCGGCTTGCAGCAAATAAAATGTTTTGGCCATCTGATGTGAAATTAGCATCAGTTTTAAACGCATTTCATTAAACAAATCAACAATAAGAATGTATAGTAGATACATGTATTCTTATCCAATATGTCGTCTGACCACAACTTTATTGAAGTTTGTGTTGTGAAAAAGTCGTTCTTCCACATCTACATCCTCACTCAAGCACTGACAAACTTTAACCTACATTCTCGATTACTGCAACTCCCTCCTTTCGGGTCTCGACTCCAAATCCCTCTCCCGCCTCCAACTGGTTCAGAACGCAGCAGCCAGACTTCTCACTGGTTTTAACAAAAGGGAGCACATCAACCTTGTTTTAGTGTCCCTCCACTGGCTCCCTGTGCGTTTTGGAATTGATTTTAAGATTTTACTGATTACTTTTAAAGCTCGTTTAGGTCTGGCACCCAGCTATATTTATGAACTGTTAACCCCCTACGAGCCCCCCCGCAGCCGTAGATTCTCGGGCAGGTCCCTGTTGACTGTTCCAAGGTCGAGGCTCCGGACGAAAGGTGGCCGAGCCTTCTCTGTCCGGGCTCCTCGACTTTGGGACGACCTGCCCGAGGAGATAAAGCTAGCACCATCAGTATCCTCTTTTAAATCTCTTCTTAAAACCCACTTTTATCAAACAGCTTTTAACTGTTAGTTTTAAACTTCACATGCTGTATTTTAATGTCTGCTTTGTCTTTGTTGTGTCTCTCTCATTGTGTTTTGCTCTGTCTCCTTTGTTTTCCTGTATCTATTGTATGGAATTATTTTAACTTTGTATTATGACTGTTTTATTATCATGTTGACAGTGCAGCACTTTGCAAACATTTTTTTAAAAGTGCTATACAAATAAAGAATATTATTATTACAATATCAGAGCCTAGTTCTCTTGAGCCTCAGGTGCAGATATAAAATGTAGTGAGGACAGAATCCCTAAAGAAGATCACGCGGCACTGTCCCTTATCAAACTGCTGAGCCATAGTCACTGCTTCCCCCTGAAGTCAAAACATAATTATAACTGTCAGTTTAATGACATTGCAAACTGGTAATTTTGTAGTTCTTTGTATAACATTTGATTATGAAACATTCTGGACCACTTTAGTAAATAACATGATTGTCCAAATGTATCCCATGAGAGTTAATTGAATCATTTTAGCAGCTTACCACATACAGACCAACCTTCTTAATAAGCTTGTGTGCTATGATAAATGTCTCTGTGTAAATGGCCTTGACCAACAACCATCCACAAACCATAACATCAAATTCCATCGTTTCCATTGGATCTTATTGAAGAACACTAAAGTCGTGTCTCCAATATGGCAAAGAATATTAGGCAGTATTCTCTGCTCCTCCGCCCTGATGGTATAGATTGAAGAGCAAAATATTGCCTATAGCGCACTCTGCAAAAAACAGATTAAGAACTCCAGAGAAAACACGTAGAACCAGAGTGCTTAAACAAAAGTCAGAAAAAAGCACCATTATTATTGATTTATTTCAACCTTTTTTGCATTACTGAACTTTTCTGGAAGCTTTGAGAAAATTATAAAAAAAACGGACTATGCATTTCCTGACAGTATTTGTAAAATATGATTTTATTCTGTCAAATTTAAATATCAAAAATTAAAGTCATGAGGAATTAATATTTTAGACTGTAGGTCGTTGGACGCTGTTACCGAATTATAATTTTGAATTTATTTACAGAAAACAAAAAATTGTCTTTAATTCCACCGTGATTCATTAGTAAAAATCTTTAATGACAACAAGTTTTGTTTTCAGGTTTAAAAAAAAAAAACATAGCACTGTTTCAAGCAGACAATGTTCAATAAGTCCAATTTAGCTCAGACAAGTATAAACTTACAAAAGAAAAACACTAGTGATAGCTACAGATTCAGACAGAAGGACATATCAATTGTTTGCAGATCAAAACCTCCCAGAGCGCTCCCGGTCCCTGGAGCGGCGGCGACCCTGGTCACGGCCTCCTCCACCTCCACCTCCACCACCACCACCACCACCACCTCCTCTGCCCCGATCCCTAGAGCGAGACCTCCTCTCCCGAGACCGCGAGCGAGACCTGTGACGGCTGAAGCAAAAGTTTAAGGTTAATGACAACATCCAGAAGGACCCAATGCTGTGAAGGTTAAAGAAGTTTACTTTTTTCTTCGACGTCCATAGAGCTCTCTTCTTAGCTCTCGAGAAATTGGCTTCAGATGCATGAAATTACAGAATCCACCCCGGGTGCATTCCCTAAAAGTGTAGAATTCAGAACATCAACCTAAAACAAATGTTCAGGTACTATGAATGTAATGTTAAGTAAAGCCATGTTGCCATATTTGTCCAAACAGTAAAGTACTCCGGCTCCAAGTGTAGATTATTTATACTTACCCCATCTCGTACTGGCGGCAACAAGCTTCTCTGAAATCTGTGACCGGAGAGAGTTCTGCATGAATAGGCTGACCATTAAACCAGCGGTTATTGAGATCTATGACTGCCTTCTCAGCATCTTCTTCAGATCGAAACTGCAAAATAAAATGACAGAAAGTCATGACAGAGTATCAGGAAGCTAATCATGAGATCATTCATTATTCAAGTCTGTATTCCAACAATTAATGATAATGATTTGGTACCTTGACATAGACATTTCCAACTAAATGGTCCCCAAGGTTGTCACATACATTCATCTCTTCCACTTCACCATACTTTTCCTCCATTTCAGCAAAGACCTCCTAAGAGAATAACAACAAACATGTATTATAGAGTGGTTTGATAATAAAACCTTGAGTGAATGGAATACTTTACCTCAAAAAACTCGTCATAGTGCTCCTGCATCTCCATATCAGTAATGGCACCTGATGGAAATAAATACACATTTACACATTAGACATAATAGATAAATTTGTGCTTTGAACAAGAACAGATTTGAGGGGACTGAACCACTTACAGGCAATGCCATCAGCAGATTGCACATTGTTTTGAGGGTTGCGATAAATATTTAGCAAGGCAATTGTCTGGAAAACATAAAAATTGATAAAATGCATAAATATTCCATAAAGCCATGAGACAAATTTAAAACCAAGCGTTATGATTTTACCTGGCTGAATGTAGGCTTATTATGCAACCTAGAGCATCGGTCTCCATGTCGACAGGCACCAATTTTAAAATAAAAAGAGCAGTTCACTCTGTTGTGAAAAGAGAACAATATTAATATATAGTAATTACAAAATTCAAATACAAATTATGATCAAAACATAGTATTTTAATAACAGCAATTTGACGGGAGTAGAGACTCCAAAAGACACACTTACCTTTAAGACTCTTGTCATAAACAGCTATTTTTCTATGTTGAATGAATAAGTAATATATGTTTTTCCCTTTAAAACTAGTAAAAACTATCCAAAAAAGTGATAGTGTACAAGCTCACATGTAATCATTACCGAACTGACTGAATGAATGAATACTATAATCTAGATCCAATGGTCCCAAATTTCCTAATAATAAGTACTGAGTAGTAATTGCGTTGATTCATTAATTATCGTGGTTCGGTTTTATCCTTTTTATAAACGGGATTTGATTGTATAAGAGGTGGACCCCAGTGAGATATACTACTTTAGTTGTGGCTCGATATAAAATAAAGAAAAGTTTATTGTCATGGATTTTGTTTTTAAACTCAAACACATGAACTAAACAATGATAATGTATTGTCTGCTGGACTTTCTCCCACACCGCCGAAAATGTGTGTTATTAATCAGATTTAGTCCAATGCAAAGGTTAACCCAAGAACACATATCAGATTACGATCTTTTTTCCACGACGTTAGTTTTAATTCATTCAAACGAACGGCAGCGGGCAGCCTCTGGGTCGGCAAATGTGTGGGAACAAATGCTAAGTGCTGTTAGCATTGGCGCTAAAAGCGAGGGGGTGGTAAAAGCACGAGAGTAACATAAACATTATAGCATCATATAGGTTAATTACTTTACATCTAAAGTTTTAATCATGTTTAAAAAATAACCCTATAACTACTTACTTATCTTTCTCTGTGCCAAAAATGGAGGCGAGATATTCAGCCATCTTGATGCTAACCAGTGTTAGCCATGCGCCTCAACACAGCACTTCCACCAAGGACACTTCAGAGTAAAACACAACATCAGTTCCTGCTGTTTTGCCTTTCTTTACAACAACAAGCAACTACAAACAACTAAGGGACGGTTCACAATGTTTGAGAAACAAAATTGCTTACACATTGTGGATCTTCATTCGTGCAAATTATATTTAAATGTGAAAATACTAACTTCCGCTCATATGCCAATCAAATCAACATATGGAATGTGGGTGGGTATTAATTCTTATTTTACATTTTCTGGTGAAAAATTTATACTTTTTATCCCTGGAACACCACATTTAATTAATTCAGACTTCCTATCCCAAGAAATGCAACCATTTTCTGCTTGTTCTATAATGTAAAAGTTTGAGGAATAACTTGTTACACATTGGGTTGATTGATAAAAAATACTTTAATAAACACATTTTAATTTCATTCTGCAGTCATTATATAGTAATTATCAAAGTCACAAAACCTCTTCTCAATATGTTAAAATCCATACAATCATTTTTTTGTTGATTCAATATTATTTGACAAACATTTCGTTGCTGTTCATCTAATTAACTTACAAACCCCTCTATAATATTTATTTAAATATAAACCATCCCGGGTTCAATACATGGATCTATTATAATATCAGTTCAATACCATCTTCAGGCCTTAATGTGTGTAAGTTATCTCCAGGTGCTTTCCCAACCACATGTACTATTATGTCTGGCATGCGCCTCCTGTATGGCAGCTCCACACTCATCTCTGTGTGGCATGAGAGGAAAATGCCCTGAAGTGTAAGTACTTTGTAAGTAAATGTAAGCATTGTTCAAGATTTATAAGCAAAAAGAGGAATTATTCACTGAATAGTACAGTGCTTTGTTTGAGTAATCCTTGCTTTATTGTCAAAAAGGTAAAACACACAATTCATGGGTAAAAACTGAAGAAACAGATCAGGCGGCAGTCATAATTTGATTTTTAGAAAAACAACATTTTAATATGGCTAAAAGCAAGAACAAATAATGAATGCTTTTAATTTGAAATGATACAGATTAGACATAAACATTAGAAAAGCATTGGGCTGGCCGGAATGGGAAATGTTATTGCCACAGATTGCTTTCCTCAGTATTGAGTTTTGAATACAACAAAAGTAATGCAGATGGCGACATGTATGACTAGGCCCCTGAGCAAAGGGGAGATGGGATCAGAGAATAAAAGTGATTAATATTCGACCCTTGATTTTACAAGTTTGACATTTATATTGTTTTGAATATATTTTTCAAAAGCTGAGAACAATATATTTTCATTTAGTGCCCAGCCTTGGAAAAGCATAAAGAGCATGCAGAAACACAGACATTAAAATGTCTTGAATATGTTATAAAACTTTCTATGCAGATGAGGCAAGTCAGTAGAATTACTTTTAAACATTTACACTCTTTGTATGATAGCACAGACACTTTTAACAGCCATTTGAGGGTTTCCTATATTCCAGATGTTCTTTAACACTGAACTTTCCCCCTTGAGGGACAAATAAGTTAATTTTTAAAGATTCCCTACTTTGTTTTATTCTTATTTTAAGGAATTCGTTACCTGTGTTCTCCATGTCTTTAGTATTTATGATAAATGCTGATGATGACTGTAAAAACATTCATTTAAATTATTTGTAGAAAATCACCTTCCAGTTTAGTGTGCGCACATTGACCTGTGATAAGAAGTATATTGGAACAGATCTGTACTTTTACTCAGGGAATAACCAGCTGTAACATGGGCACCTTAGTTTAAGTAGTTTCTGGTTAGTCTCCGCCCCTCTGAGCAAGAGGATAGTTGGAAAGAACTTGCTAAGTACGAATCGACTTTCAGTAAATTTGGGCAGTTTTTTTGTGTTAATATTCTTCACTACAACTGAGAGGTAAGGGTAATATGAAATGCACAATGCAGCGTGTGCATAGATATGTTGATACAGGCTGCGGGACTGTTGTGTTGGCTTGTGTCTTCCCGCTATTTTGTTAGCAACTCGGTGGCTAGCTAAGCTAGCTAAGCTAGCCAGCCCTTGTTTATTTCCCCATTGGCTTGAGTGAGCAAAGAGCCAGACCACGCCGAAGACATCAGATCGCTAACGATAGACTAACCCAACAATATTTGACGTAATATGCGCCTAATGAGCACTGAGCAACCAATTAGACCATCATCCTGCCGCAGTGATTGTAAATATTAGCAAAACAAATCTCCAAAAGTCCAACGAGCTCCTGAAAGCAGACGCTGCAGCTCCGCGGTCCCTCGTCGATCACACAGTACGTATGGATTTAGATAAATACCGCTCTCATGTCCTCACTTAGCCCCGCAGAGGTGTTCAGCTTCATTGTTTGTGTAATTGATGTTATATTGGTGCTGTAGTCGCCACGAGCTTGTGTCTGGTGGTATTTGTCGGAAGTCTCTCCGCGTTGTAAACCTTAGCCAGGATTTCCGGCTCCTTTCCATTTGCCCTATGCTGTTTTGTTTCCGTTTATTCTATTTCCGTTTCAAAAGTTTTCATCAACTAATGTTTAAGTGCATTTTAGACGAAAAGGGTTTGATGTATGTACAAGAAGCTGTTTATTATTTAGTAAAAGCTCGTGTACCAATGGAGGACTGGCGCTTATGCAACGCGGTGCCTCGCCCCGCTGCAGCGCGCATCTGTGCTAACACTAGCCTCTCTGTGTGTCCCAGCTCCGTCTGAATCACAGTTACGCACACACAAATAACAACGATTCTGTTGAACCTCGTTGAACATAACGTGTTGTTGATGTTTTGAATGGCCTGCAAGTTGGCCTGAGTTCACCCGAGCCTCGTAGTTGAGTTGGCCCACATTAGCTCTAAAGCTGTGGCTGGATTCGCCCCTTTCCACCAATGAGGAGTCCAGGCTGAGGCCTAATGCAGTGAGTCCAAAAAAGGGGGGCTGGCTGGGACCTTCTGCAAAGGCTCCCACTTTGTCCCTAAGGGGTATCATGGGTTTACACGTTATAGAGGTGTAGACTATAACTTATTCTTTACAATAACACACTACACTAGACAGTAACTTTGTGAGTGAGCAAAGGGTGAGATTGTCACTTGAGTACAGGTAAAATACCTAGGGATTGGGAAAGTTCCCAGGTCCAATGTGTGCCCACATCAGAAGAAACCTATTTCTCATGTATCAGTATTGCATGCACATATTATATATACTTTGTATAGTGATGGGATATATATTTATAATTAGTATTTTATTTTATTCATAGCCCAAACAAAATGTCTAAAGGTGAACCAGAAGAGATGATCGAGATTGAGATTGATGGACAAGATAAACAAACATGCCTCGAAGAAGGGTAAATATAATTGTCTTTTTAAATCTTGTTTTTTTAAAAATATCTATATATATTTATTATTGTCATTATTTTGTCCTTTTGTCCTCCTTTTGTAGCATGGAAGAGCAAACTATCACTGCATCAGACTTAGTTCAACAAGACATTGACATTAATGAGCCTATTGGTAACTTGAAGAAACTTTTGGAGCCTCGTGTCCAGATTTCCCTTGATGCATATGACATTTGTTTGCAGGATATTCAGGTGAGCAAATTTTAACTTTAATAGTATGTATTTTTAGATTCTCATGTTCTCAGCCCAATGCATCTCTGTATTATGTCTGTATTATATATTTTATAGCTACATCCTGATCACAGCCTGTTTGACCAAGGAGTTAAAACTGATGGCACAGTGCAGTTGAGTCTCCAGATTATAGCTAAACCAGGTGATGATTTAACTATGCAATTCATAATTATGCAATTGATTATATGATTGTTTACACCTGTATTTATGTTTTTGTCACTCAAAGGAGAGGAAAAGTTGAACATTTTGGAGATTGTGAAGCCAGTGGAAACAGTAGAGGTTGTGATTGACCCTGATGCTGCAGGTGAGGAGGGTACACTAGTGGAGGAAGGGCAGCTCATTGCTGTGGAGCGATCGCTCTCTGATGAGACCTCAGAACAGGTGACGCGCTGGGCTGCAGCGCTTGAAGGCTACAGAAAAGAACAGGTTCGCCTGGGTATACCATATGGTAAGGATTCAATGTTTACTTTATTTTTCTATTGGTGCAGGTGTACAGTATGTTAAGATTCCCTTTTTCTTTAGATCCTGTCCTGTGGACAGCAGATCAGGTGATCCACTGGGCTGTGTGGGTTATGAAGGAGTTCAACATTGATGAAATGGAGATTGGAAGCCTCCACATTCCGGGCCGAGAGCTTTGTTCTTTCTGCCAAGAAGAGTTCCTCCAGAAAGTTCCCAATGGAGAAATCTTATGGAGCCACCTTGAGCTCCTTCGGAAATGTAAGCTTTAAAATACCTATTACAAAACCATACCGTATTATGCCTCAATGGATAATTGTCCTTATGCATTCTTTTGATTGTAGATGTCTTGGCCAGTCAAGACCAAACTGGTTGTGATGCTACTGTCACAATTGATCAACGTAAGTTTTGCTTTCTTATGGGGGTAGAGGGTAAGAAGCAGAAATTAGGGATGTACCGATCCGATATTCAGTATCAGTATCGGTGGCCGATACAGGTATTTTGTAAGGATCGGATAATATCGGATTTGTTAAATATGAAGCCGATTTACGTCACTTTTCAGCATGCTCACGCTTTACGGCTGCCGTAAAATAAATACAATGTAAAACTAGGGCTGGGCAATAAAACGACAACGAGCTATATTGCCATAGACACATGTTCGATATCAATAGAATACGGGGTCGATAGAATGTTAGTTTAACATCAATCCGTAAGAAAAAATAGGACGAAAACACAGGGAGTAAAGCCGAGTCAGAGGTGCGCAGCATTCTGGGGGATGTAGGCATAGGCTTCTCGACCTATCACAACCAAGCGTAAACTGCAAAACTTTCTGGAAAATACAAAAACAACAACCGCACAATGCGTAGCGTATATCGATCTAAGATTGTTTTTCAATGCCGTGTCAATGGTTATGCATGTCCGTGCGAGGCATAGCATGTGCGGTGTGGCAGAGGCAGTGGACACAGAGACCCAGTGCATGCGGCGAAAGCAAGAGATGAACTTTTTCCTCCGTGCGGCTATCAGAGAGCGGCCCCACTGAGCCGTCATGGGGACACAAAACAGGTGATGAACCAGGACTAAACCAGGACTAACTATGGGGGAGACTGCTTGTGAACATATTCCTCGAGCCTCATTCCCCGTGACTGTAAACAAGGCTGCTGACGTGTGTTAGCCGACACGACAAACTTATTTATTCAGGTAAAAATGCAAAATCTTTAATGCTTTGAAAATATTAGAAGAAATTGTATCGGATCGGTATCGGCAAAACAATATTTAAGATTATCGGAATTGGATCGGATTACAAAAAATCTGGATCGGTACATCCCTAGCAGAAATGTTTATTTTTAATGTCCCTCTCTTTAGCGGTCCAAATAATCCCAGCTCAAGTTAGCACCCCTACTACAATTAAGGTGTTAAAGCAAAACCGTGGCCCAAGAACACCTCGCATTTCTGGAGAAGAACGTAGCTCTCCTGGCAATCGTACAGGTACAATACCCAAACATATTGCATTAATTTACACATATTATATTCACATGATGTAAACGCATCAAATATTCTGTTACATAGATTTGAAGAGAACTCACAATTTGTTTCCATGATTTTTTTCTGCTGTAGGTAATAATGGTCAGATTCAGTTGTGGCAGTTTTTGCTGGAGTTACTGACTGACAAAGATGCTCGAGACTGCATCTCTTGGGTCGGGGAAGAAGGGGAATTCAAACTGAACCAGCCTGAGCTTGTGGCACAGAAATGGGGACAACGTAAGAACAAGCCCACCATGAACTATGAGAAGCTGAGTCGAGCATTGAGGTAGGTCCTTCTTACAGGAATGCTTGTTTGTGTTGCATCTCATGTGGCATAAAAACCCTCATCACCTTCTTGTTTGTCGTCTAGGTATTATTACGACGGTGACATGATCAGCAAAGTACAGGGAAAGCGTTTTGTGTATAAGTTTGTGTGCGACCTAAGGACTCTAATCGGCTACAGCGCAGCCGAACTCAACACCCTCGTGACGGAGTGCGAGCAGAAGAAACTGGCGCGGATACAGATGCATGGGATCGCTCAGCCTTTAACCACAGTCACATTGGCAACAACGCTGGAGAAGGACAGCTAGAACAGGCCACAGCGCCATCTGCAGCAACATCCAAATAATGACTGAAAATGTACAATATTTTGACAACAGAAATGGGAAGTCGACACTTAGTCAAATTGGATCAAGAGGCTCTTGTAAATCAATGACATTTTTAAACAAAAGCTTTTCTGTATTGTTAATCCAGAGATAGATCAGGGTCTGAATTGTAAGGAACCGTCTGTGTGCATGTGACTTAATGCCTGAATGTGTGAATGTCATGTACCTGCTGTTTGCCCCTTTTTTTTATTATTTAAATCAATGTATATACTGTTACTCAAATGTTTTGATAGCTACAGCAGCAAGTGTATTTTCATATTTTCCATAAAGAGGACCTGTTTTGTATTTTATTTAGATAATGTCAACAGCATTGGGGGAATAAAGTAGAAAGCCTTAATAGATCTCTTCTGAAACTACCCAATTTTTTGTATGGGCATCAATGTTTTTTGAATAATTGTATTTGACTGCATATTAAGTGTTGAAAGTTTTTTTTATTACATGGAGCAAATTGTTTGGAGAATAAGCTTTCAGGATACAGATGATGGCATTTGTACAAATCTCAACATTCAATTGATAATAAAACTTTAGTGCCTTTACACGAATAGATAAAGTGTGTAGAGGTGATATGTGTTGTATTTCTTCAATGCAAAATACACTTAACATTCATGTTTACAAAAATGGACTATGATTAGTACAGACATATGCTTAGGAAACAGCCTAAAACGTAAACATGATCATAGTGATGTGCTGTACAATATTGCTGACAGTTAAAGAAGACATTACACACACACGACAAGAAGCAACATATCCAAATATTTACAATCGGTAAATGATATAGTGGAATGATATATATTCTTCATAATGTACACAAAGCTTTTGAGTCCCTCTACCCAAATGATCACATCTGAGAAAATGGCATAAGGTACAGCTAAAGGCAATTATAATCCAAAAAAAAAAAAGTGCATAGAATGTGACACAATCTTCATCGGATACAATTACACTTCATTTATTACAGAAAGAGCACTCGCTCATGCAGCTGAAACTGAAGCGTGGGAATAGAGCAAAGGTTAAAGTAGGGCTGTAACTAACAAGTATTTTGATAATCAGTTGTTTAGTGCTTTTTCCTTTGGACTGTGGATATGACGCAGAAGTGAAGCTTCTGGAGGACATTTTAATAGATATTTTCAGACAAACTATAAAATTGAGACAATTTTGGATTAACACATAAAATCATGGAGTCTTTGTATTGAGCAGTTAACGATTATCTAAAAGCTCAATCATTTGCAATTCTTCATTACAGCCCTAGATTAAAGCAAATGAGTGATTATTCTTCATATCACAACACAAAGAAGACAGAAAATGTACAATCCTGCAAGTAAAAGGACTCTTGATAAAGAATGTATACTTTGTCATTGATTTTTCCATGCATTACATATAATTATAGCTCTGTCTTAATATATTAACATTTAAATCAATAAAAAACAAGCATTGTATTAATCTTTGTTCTGGTTTTTTTCCTGAAAGTTTCAATTCTAAAGACGTCATAAAATGAAAGGTGCCAGATATATTTGGTTCCTGCAGCAAACTTAGTATGAATAAATAATTTAAATATATGTATTGTATGTGTCAAATGTAATTTCTATCTTTGCGATAAGTTGAGAGTCTCTCATTGACTGCTATCTGCTCATGCATGCTGTATTTACACAATTCAGTTGGATTTTCCTCTAAACTACAAGTTCCACCTTTAGATTAAATGTAGCATTTTTTACTTTTACCAATTTCATTATAAAAGCACCCACATTGTGTAGAACAGGCCCTCCAGGGAAGGGAGTTTATGATGACAGATTTGAAACATTTAGCTGTGAATTTGTTCAAAAAATTTGTAAGTAGGATTTTCATAACCATTTTGTTGCATCTTGGCAAGATGACGCTCCTCTGGGGTAACAGCTGCATCCACCTGCCAGAGAAATAATGAGAAACGTTAAAGTCACGATACATAATACATAATAATACAATGGTGGTGGGACATATTATAGCCTGGGGTACATTTCATAGGTTCATGAATGTACAGTGTCATTGTCAAATAACCAAATAAATTAGATTGAAATCCCTACCTCGATTACTCCATGATGGATAGATGTATATTGTTTCTTTCGCAGCATCACCAAAGTGATAACTATAATGGTTGCTATAACAACTCCTCCAACCATCAAACCAATGATGGCTCCCTTGTTGGATCCCACATCCTCCGCAAAAAATACCTGTTTTAAAATACATGTCAGTTAGAACTCGTAAAAAAACAAATTAAAGCTCTATGGTCTTTACCAGTTTTTGGTGAACTTCATAACCAGCACTTCTCTCTCCAGTGTCAAGCCGCACTTCTGGTATCTCTTCTGGTTTCAAAGCAGACACTACAGCAGAACAATACAATAAGGTTATTCAGGGTAATTCAGAATACACACTAGGGCTGGGTATTCGAAAATATTTTGAATATTAACAAAAAATACTGACATTTGAACATATGATCACAGACACTCATGCTTAGACAAATTATCCTGTTTTAGAACTGGTCAGAATATTGTTTTTATCCCACGCACAGGGCGTTTGAACGTACAACTGCTGGGGCAAGAAGAAACAGCCTTGCTTCTAAAAACAGAATTGATTATATGCATGAACTGCCCCCTGGTGGACAAAACAATAGCAGCTATAACTTTCTTTTTAAAACGAGGGCGATATTACAAGCATTTATTGGTCAAAATATTAATACAGTTTCGAATATATTCAAATTTTAATATTAACAGATCAATGAAATTTGAACATAGTTTTTTGAGCTTAAGTCTCAGCCCTTCTACACACAAGGACCTGATGGACATTCACCTGGTCGAGTGGGAAGTCCTCGGTCTGCAACAGGACGGGCATCAACAGGCTCAACTACGGAGGAAGGTGAGGTCACACTTTGTTTGAATTTCATTTGTCAAATCCAAGACCAGAGAAAACAATGGCATTACCGTGGTTTTCTGTGTTGGCCTGGTTGAAGCTTTCAGGATGAATGAACCCAAATCCACCCAGGGCAGGATCCATAGGAGCAGAACTGAAAGCCTGGTCTGGCATTAGCGCATCATTGCCATAACTGATCCTGCCGTCCACCTGTAGAACACTGTCTGTCACCCACTGTTTGATTTGATCGCAGCACGTTAAAATATAATTCAAAACTAAAATAATGCCCACATTCAGACACTCACTAACTTCTTTCTGCAATCAGCAATTAGCAAATAGCAAAGGTTGCAATTATTTAAAAACATAATATGACGTTATGTTATGAGTTTATGTAATTTATTTAAACCAATGGACTTCACAGAATTCCATTGGTTTGAATGGGAGCAGTCAAAATGACAGCTCTGGGATTCCTAAAAATAAGAATACCAAAAGAGAAGAAACACAATTGTAATGAACTAAAACTCCATCTGTCTTGTGTTTTATTTGGTTTTTTTTTATAAGTTTATTTATATATTTATGGAAGTGTTGAAGTCCAAAGGGGCAAGGTGACTAAAATACTTTATATATTCCTCTCTGATTGTAAGGGCTATTGTTCAAATATTGTAACTTTCTGCCAATGTTTATAATGTCCATCCATCCTACTATTTAACATCAATTGTAATGTTTATTCACAAAAAGAGAAAGAAGATATTTGCAAAAATCTTCAGCGTGTACAACTCCCATCCTCTAATGTTGGACTTGCATGGCACAGATGGGTTTCATTGTGTCAGTTTCCAAAAGGATATCTTTGGGAAACTTTTGTTTCCATCCAGAACTGGACAAATGTAATAAAATAATAATAATAAGTATGACTTCACTCACCCGCCCATCGTTCTGCAGGGAGGAGACCTGCTGAGACAGCTCCACCTGAACCCGATGCACCAACACAGCTGAGAGAGGAACAGTGAGAAACAGTGTGAAAATGGTTTATGGTTTGGCGTGCTGTGTTCTGAATGCTAAAATACATGTAAATAGATTTTAATATTTCATACTAATAAATGTAAGTGACTAATACAATGTAATTATATGAATGAGGAAAACTTACAAACTTGGTTATGGATCTCATTTGCAACATTAGGCACTTTGTAAAGCAGACCCAAAGACTGATTCATTCTTTCTTCAATCACGTGAAGGTGGGTCAAGACCTAAGAATATCAAAGCAAAACATTTGAAACACCAAAGAAACCTTCTACAAGACAAAATAAATGTTTTGTCATTTTTACCTGTGGTCGAATCTGGGCTGCCTTTTTGGGATCAACCGTGCAAACGTGTTCATAATGTTTCAGAGTGTGTTGTCTGTCTTTTTGCTCTGCACGGACATACTTCTTTAACAGGCTCAAAACTTGTCGTGGCTGAGGGAGAGAGCAGTATCTCGTTAACGCTTTCTTTCAAGTGAGATTCCTCCAACAGAACAAACTTTTTCCAGTTTTTATACAATAAAAAAAAATATAATTTTAATTATCATAGTATGAATATAATATTAATATATAAAATAAATGTTAATTTTTTTTCATGAGAGATTAATAATGCTAATGCTAGTGATAATTGTTTTATTTTGTATTTATTATTTTACTTTTAGAGTGTGAAGTATTATCTTCAGTAGAAAATATATGGTTAAACAAATACCAAGGGAAAAGGATGCTTTCAGCCTGCCCCATCCCTATGCGACCACTAGAGGGAGGTTTAGATTTTTTCTTCTTTTTTAAATTCCAAATTAAAAAATTACCTGCTGCAACCACTAGAATGTGACTGCAAAAACAGTAATTTTACAGCAAAACCTATTCATGGTCAACACTTTTGCTTTAAAAGGCAGAAAAGTGTCATAAATGAACAATATTACTACATTGATATTTCACATTACATTAACAAAGATACTTCAACGATTAAAAAATCAACAGGCCAACAAATTGTATGCGGTTTACAGTCGAGAGGTCGACTGGAGAGTTGTAACGAGAGTGTAGCACGTACCCGTGGAGGGGAGGCCTGCAGAGCGCTGAGGTAGTTCTCCATCGCGAGGCGTCGGCGAGTGTTGAGCAGAGCTTCCACTCGAGCCATGTGTGTCTCCACCAGCTGCTGCCGCTCTCCTGCTGCCTCCTGCTCCAGAGCCTCCACCTTCTCCTGGAAGTGCTGCACACACAACGTTCAACTAGAGTCCACTTGACCTCAAAAGGTTCATCCGTCTTCAGAAAATGTTAGCAGATCTTTGGACTGGTCTGAATGATTATCTAAAATGCCCCAGTACAATTCACATGTTTAAAAAAGTCTTCAAGGCCTCTAGATAAAAAGTGGTTCATAACAAAAAACTTGGCACTGATGTTTTAGCCTGATACATTCGTGTTTGTACATGGATATTGGACAACTGAATGTGTGTATGCTTCTGTATGTGATTGTAATATGTTGTGCAATTACTTTGTGTTGCTCAATAAAACCTATAGACACAAGACATAAAGGAAAAGACTTTTTAGCGGCACTACCTGAATGACAGCTTTTTTATCTGCACGAGGAAGGTTCTTGGCCTGTCTCTCCGCCTCTTCCCATTCCCTCATCACCTAATCAAGAGGAAAATATGTTAAAAAATGTTCCAAACACAGTATTTACTATTGTATTATTAGAATTTTAATGTTTTGACACCTGGGACATTTTTTCACGGTGTTTGGCCTCCAAACTTTCTTTGGCCTTCTGGAAATCAGCATGTTCATTGTCCTCCCCTGGAGCCTCAAGATAACGATCAACAGCATCTGGCGGGCTGGGAGCCATTGTTGGCACTACAAATGTAAATGACCACAACACGGGTTAAAAAGGTGAAATAAATAATGATTCCATTAAAAGGAAAGTGACCTGTTCAAAGGACAATTAATATAGAAACACATATGTTACATATTTAGAAACAAATACAACATGGTTCCCAGAGTCCATCATTGTTTAGTGTGGGTGCCTGAAGATAAGATCAAAAGTGCAGAGATCTGTGCTGGCACAAGCAAAACGGCGCCACAGCACTTCACACAAACACATAAGACGGTGGAGACAATGGTGCTGACAGTCGAGGAACACTATAAAAGCCATGCAGACAAGAGAATACAGTTATAAATGAGTAGTGTGAGATAAAACTTCAGATCCAACAGCCACTGTTCAACTTTGAATGTTCAAAGTGCTACAACATAATAGAACAGTTATTGTGAATAAGAATAAATAAGTTAAATACTGAAAAACTAATTCTTAAATCTGCCATTTTAATTCTGCCAACAACTACAAAGTTAACTATTTCAACAGACTTGAAAAAGATGATTATTCATAAACATGAAACTGATTATGAGGACATAATTCCCTTAATTGACTTGATAACAAACACTTTTTATCCCGTCTAAGATTATCTTCCTTAGAAACCCATACAACTGTTTTAAATATGGATCTTGAACCATGGAATGTCCAGCATAATCCATAGACCATTACCACACTGACTTGTTTTTACTGTATATTTATATAATTTATAACACTCCTAATTTATAATGGACTTTCAGAGCACAATACTGTAATCTAATGATAAAATACCAATGGCTGGACCAGAGAATGTTGAAATGCATTTCCACGAGAACGTGTAATAACAAGAACACAGGTTAATATGCCATTCCATTGCCAAAGAAACTTTATTGTTAAGAGTTAAGTAAAAACCTGCACAGTGAAAGTAAGGGATAGTTTGAACAGCGTAATGCTGTTTTAGTAGATACTGGACAAGACGGTTCCAGGTCCATGACTTACACGAACTGCTGCAGACAGCAAGGCAGTACTCCTCAGAGCCAAAGTTATTCCTGTTGCCCCCACAGCCCCCAAACAAGAAAGTAGCACACTGGCCCTTCTCAGGCTCGAAGTACCAGCGCTCCAGCGAGTCGTCACATGGGCCTGAGTCAGCTCGAGCCCAACAAACATCTGTGATGTGTACACACACACAGCAAAATGTGCAACATAAAAACAAACTGCATGGATTTCATTACTAACATCTAAAAACAACATGAAAACAAGCCAAAGTGAAAGAGCCTCCAGTCTCACCTCGCACAACCTCCTCCACGGATTCTGTGGTGGTGGTGGTTGTGGTTGTCATGGCGATGTTAATATTAGCCTCATCGCTGTAACGATCGTCAGTGACATCTTCTTCATCCTCCAAGTTTTCCTCTTCATCAATAATATCCCCATTAGCATCTCTGTCATACGCCTCTTCATCCTCCTCTTCATCGTCCTCTACAGCAGCAGGCTCAGCGTCAGCAGCACGAGTCTCTCTGCGTCACGTTCACATCAATCAACAACTGTCTAGTTATTCAAAAGAATCCATGTGCACAACCCACCCGTTATCCGAGTACTCTGCCGCCGGTCCTCCCCACCACACGTCAGACTCCTCCTCTTCAGCTTCAGTGTTGTCGGGCTGTGGTTCCGCCTCTGCCGGACAGCACACAAACTCCACTCCTCGGAAACGGTCAATGCCACATGGCAACAGCATCCCAAAATCATTCAGGTACATGGAGCGGTCTCCACACGACTGATTCATAAAACACAATCATTGTATGTTTAATTTATGTATATGTTTAATATATACAGTATATGTACTTAATATGGGTGGAATATCAGCACATAAAACAGCAATGCATTGTTTTTGCACTTATTACATATTAAGTATAAGAAGATATTGTTCCATCCATTCATTATTATTGCACGATTAGTCCATATCATCACTAACATCACAGGATACACCCGCCTCTGTCCTAATGCCAGGATGGGTTCCCCATAGACAAACCATATATTTTCTGAGAGTTCCAACAAACTGTGTTCACAGAGCAACGGCTTTCAGTTGAGAAAAGAATTTGCAGGTTATCTAACAACATTAATTTGATCTTTTCCCTCTAAACGTTATCATTGATAAATATAAAAGGGTGGGGGGAAAAAGCTTTTTTGTCGAAATAACACCTTCCAGATTATATTATATATAGACCGAAGGTCCATATACAGTACAGGAGGTTGCCCTTTGGCAACGGTTCTGTTCAATGGTTTTATGAATCATATTTGTAGATGCAGCCAGGGATGGAGGGAGTCTAGTTTAAAAGCCAGATGATCATCAATCTTTGCTGTTTGTGGATTATGTTGTTGGTTTCATCAAACCAGGACAACATGGAGCAGCTGTGATGAACATTATCCAAGGCCATGGCTAATAACCTGAGAAAGGTGGTGGAGATGTCTTTAGTAAAGTGGAAGAGTTCAAGTATCTCTTGTTCAAAATAGAGTTTGATATTGACAGACAGAAGCTGCACGGATAAGTCAGTATGTTGTGGGGAAGAGGGAGCAGAGTCAAAAGGTTAGGGCACCTATTGATTCACACTCAATCTACGTTACTCATGTGATCATAGGCTTTGGGTAATGACTGAAAGAGATCGTTGATAAAAAGGGGCTTAACAAAGTTTCTTCTTGGCTGGCTGAGAAGTGAAGAGCTCAGTCACAGGAGCTCAGAGTAGAGCCGCTACTCCTCCATGCCAAGAGGGTCCCTTTCAGATATACCACCCTGTTCACAACTTGGCTACTAGTGAAAGGAAATGGAATGTAAGTTGATATAGAAATTATTGTGACAACAGGCCCATGCACTTCCCTAACCACAATGATGCTAAAAAAAACATGCTTATTTTCCTTCCTCACCTCTTTGGCCACAGTGTGCCAGTGCAGGTGGCTCTCACACTGATCCATACGCTCCTGATGAAGGAACTTGCACTTATCAGGAACAAGCAGGGCATCGCTTACAAACTCACCAACTGGAACATATACGGGAAATGCATTTCAGTAAGGCCTCTCAGAAAATGGTGAATAAATACATTAATGGCTTTCTTTCACCTTGTTTTCTCCAGGAGCAATTAAAAGCGCTTTATAGAGCATCCCATACATTGTAAAAAAAGGGGAAAGTTACCTAAGCAGCGGTATGGCACCACGATGTGGCTGTGACTGCGGCACTGCTTACGACCTTTCTTGCACCAGTTCTGAATACTCGTCGGCTGGTTGGCCTCCACCACATTAGTGATTTGCAGCTCTGGATATACCTGAAAGGGTGTTTTGCATGAGACTATCTGATACTACAACTTTTTCATTATGTCCAATGTCTTTTCAGAAGACACACTAAGAAAACAAAGAGACATTATGATATACCTCTTGACAGTACTGCAGGATGCCCTCCTTTGTACCGATGCAGCTCTTGGTGCCTGAGGGGTCCGAATCCCATTTTCCACTCTGGACGTTGATGTGCATGTTGAGCTTCCCACAGAACATTGCCACCTGAGGCTCAGTGAGCAAACTCACCGAATCATCAACAGTGACCTGGGCAAATAAATTAACATTCTGTTTGTTTACTGCAAAATAGGAGGACTTTAAAAGGAGATTCTTGGTCTAAAGTAGATGTTTTAAGATACTACACCAATTGAGTCATTGCAACGTGTTGAGGTAAAAAATATTTAGAATATTTAATCACATTCTGTTCATTGAAAAAAAATGGGTTTCATTTCACTTCATGCAGTGAAATGAAACCCAAAAGGAATGATCAGGCTTTAATTAACTGGAATGTGAACTTTGAATGGACAGAACACTTTAACCATGATGTTTCTTTAATAATTAGACCTTTCTATTGCGACTGAGCAATCCTATATCAACACAATACATCATATATAACTAGACACTTAAAACATACATGGTATTCAGAACAATGGAAATGAGTACCATTGCAATCGCTTTCTTTCTTTAGTTTGCAGCTTACAAAAAGCAAATGTAAAAGCAGCAGGAGTTTATTTCCATGACTTATACGAGTTCTCACTCACGCAGTGCAATAGAACGTACAAGAGTCATCCTTTAATGTTCAAAAGCTTTTGTCTTAAAGGGTGCATGGTGGGCCTTTAATGATCTTGATGCTAATTACAGTTGTATACCACATAATAGACGTTTGTTTTGCAGTCTATTATACATTTTATTCACAGAACTTTAATGAGACACATGGTTAACACCGTTTACAGGTGCGAACGCCGCAGGAAAATGATGGACATCCCGGTGTTCTGTGGGCCGCTATCCACGGAATTCTTCAGATAAATGTCGTCAGGCACTTTCCACTTTGGTGTTTTGGTTTAATTTAACACTGGTCCAGCGCTGCATCAAGAGCACCCGCGCCATCTTGCCTGATTTGTCTGCATGGTTTCCATTCTCCTCAGCAGCTTTCCTCCCACCACCCTCAGCTGCCGCCTGGAGAGCATAGACCAAGCCCGCTCCATAACATGTGGTGTTTGACAGATAATTGTGTGAATGAGTGAATTTGAAGGTTTTTGGTGAACCCTGAATGTCTGTCAACAACGGCTGCCCCGTTGCCCCGTTGCCATGCCAATGTCCCGTACGCCCAGGCTCAGATAGCCTAGCATCACTGTTAGCCCTTTAGCACGCACTGTGCTGCCTCTGCCGAAGAACTATTTAACGGCACGTTGAGAGAAAAGTCCACGATACACTGAAGAGAGACCCAAATAGACCCATATACAACAGAACCAGTGCACTAGGAGGTGTCCGTGGGGACATGTAACAGTAGGTGCGGTAGGCCCGGGAGCTTTGCTGACGCCACGGGTTTAACCAGTCTATGGTTTAACCCGGTTTATTCACCGCTAGTGATACTTTAGTATAAATAACAAGCAAACGCCTAAAATGTAGCTACAATGTGGTAAATGAAGCATTTAAAGGGAAGAAGAAAACTAATAGTTTTACACACTGAGACACATTTCTAGCTGTTAAATTTCGTTTAAAAAAAATAATAACAGATTTGTTACAAAAAGTAATATTAAATAAAATGTTAACGTTACTGGAGGAAATTAAGCTGGTCCTTAAAATGAAAAATCCATGGTACATTGTATGTCTCATGTAATGTCTCGCATATGAACAATTTAAAGGCATAATATTCCTTGGGAAAGAACTGATCCGACAGAGATCTCGTGGTTTCTCACCTCAGTGGAAAGCGTCAAGGTCGCCGACAGTAGCAGCAGGAACGCCGTGTACTCCTCCATTCCGCCCTCTCTGTGTCCACAACTATCTGTCCAAGATGTGTAAAAGTCTGTGCTACAGTAAAAGCGGGATTACAAAGGAAAGGTGTCCACACTGTGAGAAGTCCTCACGATCCTCACGGATCCCTCCTCCTGATGGTGATGACGGTGAAGCTGACAGAGGGTGAGTGGGGCGGAGAGTCGCTGACACATATGGCATCTGTTTCCTGCACATTTACCCAGATTGCTTGAATAAACATTCTCCTTTTCTGAGGATTTGGGAATTAAGCCATCTTCAAATCTGCACCAATCTTTGGGGAAGAATTCCTATTTAAAAAAAGACATTAATCAGGAATCTGATCACCTGCAGGAGAGAAAACGAGGCACCATTGGATTGGTACCATGTGTAGACTTTCTGAATGGATGGTCCCCTCAAGCATCCTCCAACAGCTACAAAAAAGTAGGCACCTGTTCCAAATCTGACACTGTGGCGACTGAGTTTATTTAGGCTAAACTGATAACATTTATATTACTGTATATCTGTTATTGCTATAGAATGTATAATAGGTCTATATGTTCATATACGTTCTATGATACAACTTATACAGACTATTGAATACAATAGAAAACAATGTATTTTTTAAATAAAGACCAGTAACGTGAAAAACACCCGCCAAATGGAAAAGGTGAAAAATATCAATTTAAAAAATCTACTATATTGTCTAAAAAAATACATAATCATAAAAATACTTCCATTATTTATTTTGTTCCCTAACCTCACATTTCTCCCTTCAAGAGGGAGGGAAATATACTTCTCCTTGGGCAGCTCTTCAAAACATTGTGGCTTCATAGGTCCTCCTACTAAACTAGGGCTATGATTATCGCTTTGTGGTTGGACTTTCTTCAACTGTACTCTCACACATGAAGAGTTTTTTTACATTCTTGGGAAACAACACACCCATTTTATGGATGCATTTATTTTCATAGTTTAGTTTTATAAACCAGGGGAGTCCCTCCTCCATTACCTGCTTACAAAATGATGGTCCCCCACATATGTGCTAGTACTTTCTAATGTTGTACATTTTTTATTTACATTATTGTTCTTGTTTATTTGTATTTGCCAAAGTTCCATAGATTTTAATCATAAACATTATATTTGTCTATTGTCTTAATACTTTGGGAAGCTACTGGGTTTATTGCATGAATCTATAATAAAAAGGCTTTACTGGGGTTACTGGGCTATGAAGCTGTCGTTTTTCGTTATATCCAATAGGTGGCGCTACTGCTGGGTTCATACCATAGACTGTGGGAAGTATGAGGCTTGTAGAAGAGAACCAGGAAGTAGGCAGGCTAAACAGAGCTAAACCATGGATGTAAAACAATGCCACTAAAGCACTTATATCACAATGCCTTGGTGTAAACTCTTTGGATTTAAAAGCCTGCTTTTATATAATTGTATTGGCCTTTGTTTCACGTGTTTGCGGTGAGTATTTGCTCTAACAATGATCCTTATACCATCTATGATATAGTATGTTGGTGCATGCTGATAATCTTAATGAAAAACTATGAGAAACAATTGCTAGCTTGTGTTCAGTCTTGTTATGTATCGCGTTTATTTTTTCGTTTTTCTTTTAGCGGCTCTAGAATACAGACATCATCATGGGGCAGCGAAAAAGAGGGGCATCATCACAAAGTCAACTCTCCACTGCACAGGTCTCCCGAAAGAAGCACAACATCTGTATGGTGTCAGACTTTTTCTATCCAAACATGGGAGGAGTGGAAAGTCACATTTACCAGCTGTCCCAATGTCTAATAGCTATGGGTCATAAGGTTGTGATAGCTACCCATGCCTACAGCCAGAGAAAGGGCATCAGGCATCTGACAAACGGTCTTAAGGTGTACTATCTCCCCCTGCAAGTCATGTACAACCAGTCCACAGCCACCACCTGCTACCACAGCCTGCCACTGCTGCGCTGTGTCTTTGTCCGTGAGCGCATCACCATTGTGCACTCTCACAGCTCCTTCTCTGCCATGGCCCATGATGCTCTTTTCCATGCCAAAACCATGGGCCTCAATACTGTAAGTGCACTGCAAATGTAGGCATCTTTATTATAGTTGTGCTCCATGAACTAACGTCTCTGTTATTATTACAGGTGTTCACGGACCACTCGCTCTTTGGGTTTGCTGACGTCAGTTCTGTGCTGACCAACAAACTTCTGACCATTTCGCTCTGTGACACAAACCACATCATCTGCGTCTCATACACCAGCAAGGAGAACACTGTGCTGCGTGCTGCTCTCAACCCAGAAATAGTCTCTGTCATTCCCAACGCTGTGGACTCCACAGACTTTATCCCTGACCCCTCTCAGCAGCCAGAGGATAAAATTACTATTGTGGTCATAAGCCGACTTGTTTATCGCAAAGGTAACAACAATAAAAAAATGTGCCACTCAGACTATACATTTTATATCATTTTTTGTATTTTTTTATACAGGTATTGATCTTCTTGGTGGAATAATCCCAGAGATTTGTCTTAAGTATCCAGATTTACAGTTCTTAATTGGAGGAGCAGGACCAAAACAAATTGTTTTGGAAGAAGTAAGAGAGAAATATCAACTTCATGACAGGTGCATTGTACAGCAAACATTTATGCATACAGAATATCCATATACTGTAGTTATTCCATTGGGTTTTACTTTGTTGTGATCTACAGGGTGCGTTTGTTGGGAGCACTAGAGCATAAAGATGTGCGACAAGTTCTGGTACAAGGCCATATTTTCCTGAACACATCTTTAACTGAAGCCTTCTGTATGGCCATCTTGGAAGGAGCCAGCTGTGGACTGCAGGTGGGTGACCAGTCATGCAGAAACTCATAGATGTCTTTAAATGTACTTTGTGATCTATATTTTATCTGCATTTCATTTATATGTTTCCTTTCTTGTTTTGTAAAGCACTTTGAGTCGCCTTTGTCTAGATATTTTTGTTGCAAAGTTTATTTGTATAGCACAGTCCATACACAAAAGTGCTTTATAAAACAAGATGGAAATAATCACACAAGGCATTAAAATAATAAATAATCACACTATATTAGAATAAATAACGATTAAACCCCTCTGTTGTATGCACAGCTAAACGGAACTGTTTTCAACCTGGATTTGAACATTGTCACAATAGAAGCCTGTCTCACATTTTCAGGAAGACCGTTCCAGATTTTAGCTGTGTGAATCTGAAATGCCGCCTCTTCATGTTTAGTTCTGACTCTGGGCACCAGCAGGAGGCCAGTCCCTGTGCTCCTCAGAGTCAGAGTTGGTTCATATGGGACTAACATGTCTTGGATGTATCTTGGTGCAAGGCCATGGAGAGACTTGTAGAACAGAGCTGTTTTAAAGTCTATTAATAATGTGATAGTACTTCCTGGTTCCAGTCAGGACTCGAGCTGCAGTATTTTGAACATGTGTGCTATGTTACCTTGTGTCATGCTTTTGTTTCACATGCTGAACGTTTTGTATTAAATTGAAAAGAGAATCCACTCTCATTCAGCAAATGTAAGCAAATTGAGACGTCTTTTGCACATCAGGTGGTGAGCACTCGTGTTGGAGGCATTCCTGAGGTGTTACCTGAGGACCTCATCACCCTGTGTGAGCCCACCGTGCGCTCGCTGTGCGCTGGTTTGGAGTCAGTCATCGCACGGCAGCGAGCTGGAACTGTGCCTTCACCCGCCTCTATTCACACACGGGTCCGTAACCTCTACACCTGGAGGAATGTTGCAGAGAGGACAGAAAAGGTGGGATTTCACCCTTTTGAATTCTAACGTTCTGACTGGTGTCAAATTTCTTAAACACCTTTTAGTGGGCAAAAATAACACTGACAAACACTGTCTCATACATTTGGTAACGTGCAGTAGTGCTGTAACTGAATTCATAATTTACTATTTACTATTTTGAATCTGTTATTTGTTTGGATCATGATTTATTTGTAAATTTATAAGTTTAACCGGAAAAAAACTTCAGTAATGCAAATCAAGAACATCTTCAAAAGTTGAGTTGTGACAAAATAAGTTCACATTTCTATTTCTGGGTCATACAACCTTGTCACTGCATGTTTTTGTCTGTGTAAATACTTAATGGATGTACTGGTTACTTATTTTGCTCACATCTTAATGTCCAAACCTGTTTGTATGTGTTCAGGTGTATGACAGAGTGGCAGGAGAGGAGGTTCTTCCTCTGGACAGACGGATCCTCCGGCTCAGGACTCACTGCGGCCCTGTGGCGGGAACTATCTTTGCTTTCGCGGCTCTGTTGAACTTTCTCTTTCTGCTCCTCCTTCAGTGGTTGGTGCCAGACCGAGTCATGGATGTTGCTGTGGATGCTACTGGTCCTCATGGATTATGGAATAGCGAACAAAAAGATGAGATGAATGGAAAAACGGAATTGGGCAGAGAGCAGAGTTTGTAGCAGACGACATGGTGTCTCTGATTATAAACAGTAAAATTGTTTACATTACTATAGTCAAAACTAGGAACAATGAGCTTGCTACTACTGTAAAACTTTCGAAACGCTCGGTGAGACGTCATAAAATTGCATTCATTTGCACCTTCTGTAGATACTAACATAATATTGTTTTATATACATAACACTGACAAGCATTTTTATATACATTTGTTTAACTTTTAACCACTCAGCTGTATGTAATATACTGTTTGTAATAAAGCACAATCTGTTTCATTGCACTGGAAGTAACGCATTGACTTTTGTTGTTCAATGATTTACCTGGACATAATATATGGCTGTTTATAGAAATAGAAGATACACAAAAACAATGTTCTGTCCATGTAAATGCATAGTATCTGTATCTGTTAAGTGTGTCTGCTTGCTTCAATGGACATGGTAAACATCGGGTGATGTACTGGTTTGGTCTAAAGGCATTTTCTGCTGAGCCAAAACTTTGGAACAGGTCAGGGCTGCTCTCAGGAATGCAGCTCGCCAGTCAAAACAGCCAGCGGTTGTGAAAACAGGACAGATTTGTGTTCTTTTCTTTGCTTTTCAAAATAATTATTCAATTGAGTAGCTAGTTTTAGACATTCCTTTCATAACACAATAGTGTTTAGGAAGGAAATGTACCTTTCCTTTGTTAATACTATTGTCAGATTGGAAACATTGTGTTTAGTATAGGAATATATACATTTGTGCTGCCAGTTTCTCAGTAATGCAGACGGGCCCTAATTCTCATGCATATCGGCTGGATGCTGGGCTAGTGCTGGTGGGTGGTGTCTGTGGGGGAGGTACTGGTCAGATAAAACCCAAAGAGAAACAGCCTGAGAGTGAGTTCCCTCCTGATTCTGAGTTGTGTGGAGCAGTTTGTATCTTCACTATGGCGGTTGTTCAGACAGAGCAGACACTGTTCTCTCAGGCCTGGCCTCCGCACCTCTACAGAAGGATGGCATGCAATGCACTCATGGCTGGTAGGTGTTTGTGTTATGGTGATCCTGTAATTATATAAAAGAGACCGTTTTCGAATACTATCAGGTCAGGGTATATTTTTGAAGTCAAGATATTTACAACACCTTCACTACCTGCGATTGTAGTACTCTATAGAGTTTTAGAAATTTTTCATTAAAAAATAAGGTGGTTAAGCCGTTTTAAACATCAATCTGTGTATTGTCTTAGCTCGGAGCAAACAAAGCATATGGATTATCAGACATTAGTGAGGTAAATATACAATTACATGGTCACGTTAAACAGGATTAAAAATTAATGTTCAATGGTCTACTACAGGGGTCTCCAACGTTTTTTGTTTGGAGAGCTACTTTTGTGCTACAAAAATGGCAGGGAGCATTTTTTTTGTAATAAAACTAGCCTAACACTTGTGTAAAATGTACCATAATATTGTATAACCCTACGTTAGTGAATATAATGAAAACCTTTATTGATAAAAAAAGATATGCAATGATTCAAAATTAACTAATTTAGGATCATGTGTCAAATTCCTGAATCCTTTGGGGAGCTACCTGAAAGGGTTTGGCGAGCTACAGGTTGGTTAGTGTTTGTAATGGGTTATTTGGATATTTCATGAGTTTTCTCTCCTAAATAACTCTTGAAGCAGGGTTAGTTTGCAAGGTATTAATGCAACAGTGGTTATCTTAAGATTTCTTTATTTTGTGTTAACAAAAATAATCCATGTCCCCTCCTCCTCAGACTCGTGGGCAGACAGATCCCCTTTGCACGAGGCTGCATATCAAGGCAGACTGCTGCACCTCAGGGACCTCATTGTTCAGGTAAAGTTGATGTTTCTTCTCTTTCTTTGCATATTAATGCTTTTAAGACCATTGTTGTCATTGTTTCTCTGCAGGGTTTCTATGTGGATACACTGACAATGAACAGAGTCTCTCCTCTCCATGAGGCTTGCCTGGGTGGACATTATGCTTGTGCAAAGTTTCTACTGGACAGAGGAGCAAATGTAACAACCAAATGTAAAAAAGTTATAGAAATTTTTCTTATATTTGCTCTTTCCTTTTCTAGGTAAACTTAATATCAACGGATGGTGCTACTCCTCTCTTTAACGCCTGCAGCAGTGGTAATGCTGCTTGTGTGAGGTTAATTCTTCAGTGTGCTGCCTTCATTCACAACTCATACCAGCTGGTGTCACCGATACATGAAGCTGCTAAGCAAGGTAACAATATTTCTCTTCATTAAATGGCACTGTTTACATTTCAATCATGTGTTGGCTACTTAATGTTGGCGTTCCTGATCCCATTCTTCGTAAATACATTTTGTTTGTTCCAACACAAAACTCTTGTTTTAGTCACATTTTTTGACAACATGCCATCTTTTTCTTATTAGTAAACTTTTTATCAGTTACATAATGGTTGAGCGAGGGCTGGTACTGTCTTTTTCACTGACAAGCTGATCTAAACATGTGACAATTGAGGCCAAACGAAAACTAGTGATAGAATGTAAATACTAGCAATAGTATCTTTTTACAGTCTCACATTTATGCGTATGGTATGGTATGACATAGGGCTGGGCGATATGGCAAAAAAGTAAAATCTTTATTTTATTTCCTGTTTTGGACGATTTCGATTTTTAATTGATTTTTATTAAAGTCACTCAAGACAGACATTGCCCTTAAAAATATGTTCTTCCATCTTCTATCTTCTATCTTTCCGCTCAATATTCAAGTTTCAAAACTATTTCTAATTTGTTTCCCTCAATGCGTATTATAAAAGTCTTGTACAGACTGTGCTGATATTGTAAATATGATTAATGTGCTGCTGGAACTCTCACAATATCCTTCATTCGACTTCACGATTTTAACATTTTTCACAAATTAGATTTTTTCAAAAGCCGATTAATTGCCAAAATTCGATTTATTGCCCAGCCCTAGTATGACATGCTTACTTTTATTTTTTTACAGGGACAGAGTACAATAAACAGTGCTAATTTACACCTGTAGTCCCTGAAACAGGCTCTTGTAAAACAGTAAAACAATAGTAGTTGGATACATAACCATACATTTAGCAAGCAGAAATTACAATTTATTATTATTTATTATATATTTGTTCTAAATATTATCCTATACTTGCTTGTTTTTCAGTCCTAGTGCAGGTCATTAGTGACTTAAAGTGACTCATTGTACAGTCTGACAGCGGTGGGTTTGAAGGCCCTGCGGTGGAGCTCCTTCTTGCTCTGGGTGCCTCAGTCTTCCACTGAATGAGCTCCTCGGCTCCTCTACAGTCCTGTGCAGTGGGAGGGAATCTACTTTTTAAACTTTATCTACAATAAAGTTTAATCTAATCTAATCTAAAACTAAACTGCTTTGAGCTGGTTTTACTACATTGTTATTTTTGTGGTTTCAAAATTAGGAACTCAGGCTTTAGGATCTTATTGGCAAAAAATATGACAAAAGTTCTGCTGTATCTCAGGTCATACGGAGTGTCTGGAACTGCTTCTGTCCCATGGGGCTCACATTGATTTAGAGTTGCCAGTGAGGGGGACTCCACTGTACTCGGCCTGTTTGACCCGGGCCACAGCTTGTGTCAGGACGCTGTTGTTCTTTGGTGAGTTTTTAATGCAGTTTGACCATATTTTTATGTTTACAATGTTACTTCCTGGGGCGACAGTAGCTAAGTTGGTAGAGCATTGGCCTTTGAGACTGAAGGTCGTGGGTTCGAGCCCACCATAAGACCTACTTCACGACTCCCACTGATGACTGCTGTCGTTGTGTCCTTGGGCAAGACACTTAACCCCACTTTGCCTGAAACCCTCACAGAAAGATCTCAGCTCCTGTGGACTCACCACCTGCAGGAGGATCAGTGAGAGGCTGGTGCTCTGTGTACTGGGTGCAGCTCCAACTGCCCCCCCCCCCCCCCCCCCCAACCCAGCAATGGATTGGAAAAAAATGGATGGATGGATGTTATTTCCTGGTTGTGATTGATGACAAGATGCTAGGGATGTATATAAAAACTAACCACAACGAGGGTGTGTATATATATATATTTATATATGGTATTCGTGGAAATTAATAAATAAATAGTGAGTGCTCTAACAACTGCAACGCATTTTCCCATTCCACAAAGTCTGAAACATAAAATGTCAAAAACGCCCTTGACATATGCCCTCAAGAATTGTAAAGTGCTTTGTGATTCTGATCTATGAAAAGCGTTATATAAATAAACATTACTTACTTACTTTCTTACTGAAAATTGAGACTCCACTGATATCTGCTCTCGTTATGTCCTTGGGAAAGACACTTAACTGAATGCTCTAATTACCACCCCCCTGACCTAGAAATGGAGTGATCTTATTGATGTAGCTGCCTGTAGAGATGACCTGTGTTGCTTCAGGGGCTGACGTGGGACTCGGCTGTGGGCAGGACAGTCCATTACATGCAGCCGTACGCGGAGGAGACACTGACATTGTTGACCTGCTCCTGGACTTCGGGGCTGTCGGGAGCTGGAGGAATGCAGATGGGAAGACGCCTCTGAGCATCGCAGAGCCCAACAGTTCAGTGAGAAGTAAACTGCTGACCAAAGGTACCGAGTATAGGCCTTGACGCTCACATTCCCCCTCTGTGTGTGAAGTGCAAACGTGTTGTTGTTTGTGTGTGTAGGCCCCTGCTCCCTGTCTCAGCTCTGCCGCTTATCAGTGCGTCGCAGTCTGGGCAGGAGTCGTCTGCACGCTGTGTCCAGTCTGATTCTTCCACGCAGGATCCAGGCCTTTCTGCTTTATCACTGACTCCTGTGGACACCTGTGTATTCCTCTACATCGATAGCTCCTGTTTTTCACACCAAACACAGCCACAAATGCGTTCTTTCTTCACACAGTTATCTTTCAGAGGGATTGTTAACAAAACAATGAAGTGACCAGAGGTTGCAGCTCAAGGAAAGCAAAGGAGCGTGGAAGTCTTGGAACAGTGGTCCAGAGTCTGCACCTGCACCACCTTCACCTGCTCCTCTGCCCTTATCCAGAGAAGGCACCTCCATGTTCATTCAAATGGAAATTAATTTATACCGACTTGTGAATTTGGTATGACCCCAGTTGGCATGTGAAAGCTGGATCCGACAGACCTCTGAAGCTAAGCATGACAGGGCATGGTTAGTACTGCAATGGGAGACCTCTGGGAACACCAGATGCCACAGTGGGGCGGCTGCGGCTGTAAAGTGCCAAAGTGTCATTGTGTCCTTAGGCAAGACACTTCACCCACATTGCCTAGAATTGAGTCTGGTGTGTGAATGGTTACATTACACACCAGTATGGCACATACAGTACTTGTTGTCTTGCTTCTGTCAGTGTGCCCCAGGGCAGCTGTGGCTATAGTAGTAGTTTATCACCACCGTGTTTGGAGTGAATGAATAATGACATGTGAAGCGTCTTTGAGTGTCCAAAAAAGCGCTGTATAAAACCAATGCATTATCATTATTTCTTATTATTGTTATTAATTTCACAATGTTTTCTTTTGATGTCTAAGTGCTAAAGAAGCATTTGCTCTCAAAGCGCTTCAAATGCTTTTCTTTGTTTATGTCTGATGAGAAATAGTAAATGTGTTTTAATTATATAAAACTAAATCAGTTTAAAGTTAATGTGTTTGATCGTTTATTTTCTGGGTGTGGTACTTTAATTCAATATCATTTTTCATCATTTATGACCATACTTGCATGCAAAAGCCAGATCTCGTCAGACCTCTGAAGCTGTGCAGGGCAGGGCCTGGTTAGTACTGTGATGGGAGACATTTCTCGTGAACACCAGAAGCCACAGTGGGGCGGCTGCGAGTGTAAAGTGCCAAACTGCCATTGTGTCCTTTGGAAAGACGCTTCACACACATTTCCTAGAATGAGTTTGGTGTGTGTGTGAATGGCTGATCACACAGCAGAATGGGTGATCAGAGGGGTCAATGGCACATACTGGTTGCCTTGCTTCTGTCAGTGTGCCCCAGAGCAGCTGTGGCTACAGTAGTAGTTTATCACCAGTATGTATGGAGAGAATGAATAATGACATGTGAAGCGTCCTGAAAAGCGCTGCATAAAACCCATGCATTATTATTATATTCAAATGACAAAGTAGAGTTGCATTGGCTATCCCAGATTCAGAACCATGCTCATATCAACTTTAAATTGGTTAAAAAGATTTTTTGAAGGCAGAGAAACTTCTTTATCTGGTTCTGTTCCCAAGGGACCTTTGCCAAATGCCAACATGAAAGGTCACCACAAGAGAGAGTTAGACGGGCGTTTAAACAGACGTGTTCTTATGTTATAAAACACTTTCATTTAAGGCTCTCAAACACAGAAAGGCACTAAAACTGTCTTTACAAATGCATTATTCACTGCTAGAGGTCACTTCAAGAAGACCGTGGCATTTTGTTCAACTGGGTTTACAGACTTTTAATGCAGCTTTAATCTTGATAAAAAAGGGAAAAGGTCAGCCACTTATTAAACAGTCTGATCTTATTCTTATTATCGGGCACATTTTATTCTTCAAAAATAAATCACAGAGTACATTTCAAATCGTCAGAGTCATACCAGAACATAGTATACTGTATATACACAATAAGAACCTTTCAGAGAGGCATCTTTTACACTGGTGTTTTGTAAATGTATCTCATTGTTCCCTCTTTTTTTGTGTTTATCAATCCTTTCACATTACCTTAAAAAAACTACAGTATGTCACTGTTAACAATAAGATATTTCTTTGCTAAATATTTAATCCAGTTTACGTTTAACAGGTTTTATTTTCAATTTACACAACAACCTAACTTCATTGCAATTGAGGCAGTAGAAAATGCACAAGATTACACAATGCAAAATATGATTAATCACATTGTTTATACTGTTTAAGCTGTGAAAGCAACACACAACAACTATTTGAATAATCAGGAACTCAAAGTCATTCTATATAAAAAAAAAAGTCCCCTTTTTCCTCAGATGTTGATGTTTGCAGACAGAGCTACACAGAGGTGATGTTGGTGCTGCGGCTGCTTTGGCTGCGTGGCTGCGGTCCGGAGCGACAGCACAGGATCTGCTTACTGAAGTGTTTGCTGAAGCTCTTGCTCATCAGGTACAAAGCAAACGGGTTCACACAGGAGTTGGTGAAGGCCAGGATGCGAGCGGACACACTGGCGATGAAGTGGCCCAGGGAGGTGTCGGCCTGGTCGTAGTGGTAGGAGCGGTACAGGTAGATGACGTGACTGGGCAGCCAGCACACGGCGAACAGACCCACGAACACCAGCACCGTCTTGGCCAGCCGCTTCCTCGACTTCATCTGAGGAGATATGTGCACTGTCAGCAAGGCTTCTCTTCATTATTTATTTATTTATTTACTTTGGACAGACCAGATGCACTGCCTTTCGTGTTACAGCAAGACCGTGCTAATTTCCTAACACTTTTCCATAGGAGGCTTTTAGCACATAAATGCACATACAATTATAAAAATAATGTGAACAACGTTGCAACCACAGTTTCAGACGCCTGGTTTGAGGTCAGTGGGAAGAGTGGTCCACAGTCTGGCTCCATTAGGGGAAAAGGTGGACTGTCCAAAAGATATTCTGAACTTAGGTCAGTGGATATGGTGTGGTTCCTATCGCACAACTAGACACAAAGGGTTGTTTTTGAACTGTATTTGCTTGGAAAATATTTCCATACATAATAACATTATACATCTGATAACAAAACCTAATCTAAGGTTATTCTTATCCCCATAGAGTCATTTGTTCTCTATTTTTAAGCCATGCTTCGAATGCCACTAGGGCCTTTGGAGGATTTTAGCTTTTGTAAAAAAAAATTAATGATAGGGGAAACCGGAGCCCCTGGAGGAAACCTACACAGACACGGGGAGAACATGCAAACTCCACTCAGCAAGGCCCTGTCTGCAGATAAAATCAAAGCACTGTGTGGGTGTGTGCGCGCATGGGTGTATGTGTGTATAAGTGTGTTTATGTCTGTGTGTGTGTGCGCGCATGGGTGTATGTGTGTATAAGTGTGTTTATGTCTGTGTGTGTGTGCGCGCATGGGTGTATGTGTGTATAAGTGTGTTTATGTCTGTGTGTGTGCGCGCACATGGGTGCATGTGTGTTTAAGTGTGTTTATGTCTGTGTGTGTGCGCGCACATGGGTGCATGTGTGTTTAAGTGTGTTTATGTCTGTGTGTGTGTGCGCACGTGGGTGTATGTGTGTATAAGTGTGTTTATGTCTGTGTGTGTGTGTCACTAAACACACAAGGTCCTCATGATGTTATTAAACCTTTTTGCACATAACATCCTGTATGTTTTGTTCTTTGTTCTAATGTATCATAGCTGGATATAAATATGTAAACGTTAATGTTGAATAGATAGTTATTTATCCTAAATTGAGCTTTGCAGAAGACTTTCCTCGTTGAGGGAAAAATACAGAAGCAGAAGAAATTTTGTAACTAATTTGCAGCTACTCAATATATAAAATGTGAAACCAGTATAACCAGTAACTATGATATGGACTTATTACATGCGAAGAGCCTTTGTTTGTTATGTTATAATATATATGATTAAAGCTTACAGTCAATTTTCAAAATATTCTACTTTTCCGTTTTATTTGGGATTTTTACAAGCTGTGATTATAAAGCTCAACATTATAATCAACAAAGACTTGACACTTTGCCCATTTAGTAGTTTCACAATACATGTTGAGTTACAGTAATAATTGTACTTTTGAACAATATGAAGAAGGTCCTTAACTGCCCCACAGTATACAGTATACACAAATAGAAACATACAATACTTCTGCGCTCCTTATAGAAGTGGATTAAGTATCTTGCCCAAGGACACAACGACAGCAGACATTAGTCAAGGTCAAGTTTATTTATATAGCAATTTTTTTTTAAACAGACATGGTTGTCACAAAGTGGAGAAGGTCTCGCAATGGGCTTGAACCCACGACCTTCAGGCTCAAAGGTCTATAAGCTCTATAACCAACAGTCGCCCCATTTTGCTTGAATTAAGTGGATTTTATTTTAATTTGAGTATTTTCTTAAAACAAGATTTGTCAATGGGGCAAAGCCATTTAGTCTTATTTCAAGAACTTTATTTTCTCACTCAAAAAGGAGACATTTCTTGTATCCATGCCAAATGTGACATGTACATTTCTCCTATGTGAGATAAATAAAGCACATCTTATCTTATCTTTTCACATCTTATATTTTTAAAACTAGATCATTTTGCTCGTCCTTTTGGCAAATTGTGTTTTAAAGCAGTCAGAATGTTCTCAAATTAAATTAATTTTGTGTAAGTTTTCTCATTTTGTCCTATCGCTTTTTGCAGTGCAGATTGTATCGTATCTGTATTTGTGACTCAAACCTGTTTCTTAAGATGCTGGTGTCCTTCTTCGGGGAGGTCCTTCGAGCTCTGGATGAGGCTGCGTGCGATGAAGACGTAATACACTGAGATGGTGAGCAGCGGCCCCACATAGAAGATGACGAAGGAGGCCGTGGAGTGGATTCTGGGGTGCAGATGACCGGCCTGGGGGTACGGTCCGCAGGTCACAAAGGTCTCGTTGGTGTGAGCGATGGAGTATGTGTGCAGATCTGAAAAGACAGCCTCAGGGACCGCCAGGCTGAGCGACAGGAGCCAGATGGCCACAGCTCGCACGCAAATGCCCACTGTGGAGGTCTGGACGTCCAAAGGCTTCACTATGGCTTTGTACCTGAAAACAGAAGCACGGAGATAAGGTACAGCAGGGGTGACAAACTTATATTGGTCAGGGGCCGAATAAAAACAATACGAACTGGTCAGGGACTAAAGGAATAGAAGCAATTTTCCTTTTCTTATAGCTGTGTTTTACATTATGAAGGGATTTTGACATGACTTTTATTAATCTGACATTTCAGGGCGACATCAGGGCGACAGTAGCTCAGTTGTTAGAGCATGGGCCTTTGAGCCAGAGGGTTGTGGGTTCGAGCCCGACTTTCACCATCGACTCCCACTGTCTGCTGTCGTTGTGTCCTTGGCAAGACACTTAACCTCTGGGAACACCAGCAGCAGTGGGGCGGCTGTGAAGTGCCAAACTGCCGTTGTGTCCTTAGTCATTGCCTAGAATGAGTCTGGTGTGTGTGTGAATGGTTGGTGGTGGTCGGAGGTGCCGATGTCACGTGCTGGTTGCCTCGCTTCTGTCAGTGTGCCCCAGGGCAGCTGTGGCTACAGTAGTAGTTTATCACCACTGTGTATGGAGTGAAATAATAATGACATGTAAAGCGTCTTTGAGTGTCCGAAAAAGCGCTATATAAAACCGATGCATTATTATTTATGGACATTTATCAACACTAGGACATTGGTCATCTGCCCTTCATGGACCAATACCAATGTGTTTTTCTGTTTAAGGTCTTGTGTTTTAACTGTTTAATTCTCTGATCTGTGTTGGCAAATTCATAACTACTGCTGGGATTTAGAGCTACACAAGAATGAATTTTAATTTAATTGAATCAACATAAGTTTCACTATTGTTTTCTGATTATTTTTTCTGAAAACAAAATGTATTTTATTTATTTATTTGATATGGACACAACAGTGACATTGGACAGACCAGATGCACTGCCTTTACTGTTATAGCATGATCATGCTAATTTTCAACACTTGTCTATAGAAGGCTTTTAGGACTCAAATGCACACATTAAAAATTAACAAATATAAAAGTAATTAAATAGACAGTTCATTAATCATGTGAACAACAATGCTCCGATTTCAGCCACAGTTTCAGACGTCTGACGAAGATGTTTAAGTCTGTTTGGAGTTTTAGGTCAGTGGGAAGAGCGTTCCACAGTTTGGCTCCATTGAAGGAAAAGCTGGACTGTCCCAACGATGTTCTGAACTTAGGAACCAGACAGTCCCCACTGACCGAGGCTCTGGTGTTAGGCCTCCGAGAGCCTTGACGTCTGACAGCCAGACCATAGAACAGCGGTGAAACATGATCAGTTAAACATTTTAAAAACAATTTGAGTGTGCAAAATCTTACAAAATGTTCAAATGTAAAAAGTTTGTGTTTTTAATGATGTCGCAATGATACCACCTCACTGTCCTGTCGTAGATCTTGATTGCCTGGTTGTACAGGGATAAGACTGGCTTTAGAGTGGTCTGTGAAGTTTGCGACCATGAGGTGAGGCAATAGGAGAGATGTGAAAATATCATTCCATGTAAATACAAAAGAGCAGCTTGATAAGAGAGCTCTCTTCTTATGAAAGGAAATTGTTGTCAATGATCATTCCTAAATACTTGGTCTCTTTCAATGTGTTTATTGTTTAGATTTAACAAAAACTGGATCAAATATAAAGTTAAATACATTGTTTTATATTTAATGACATGTTGGATCAAAATAAAATGCCTTGTTAGCCCATAGCCATTGATGCTGCAAGTTTATAATAATAATTACAATCACTTTAGGGGCCACTAAAAATTGTCCAAAACTCAAATTAGTTTATTGTTCAAAAGAGTTCTGTAATTCAGCTCATAATGTGCAACTAATACATGGCAGACTTGTTACGGGCACAGTGAGACGTCGCTATTTGTTATAATGTTGATAATTATGGCTCACAGCTGTAAAAACCACAAACAAAACATCTCAGAATAGAAGAATATTTTGAGAATGGACCGTAAGCTTCAATCATCAATATAAAAACAAACAAAGGTCTTGGCATAATGTCCCTTTACCTGTAATGACTCTATATTACATATTGGTTTCACATTTTAAGTTCCATCCATCCATCCATTTTCTTTCATTTCTGATCCTCCTGCAGGTGGTGAGTCCACAGGAGATGAGATCTGTCAGCGGGGGCTTCAGGCAAAGTGGGGTTAAGTGTTTTGCCCAAGGACACAACGACAGCAGTCATCAGTGGGAGTCGTGAAGTAGGTCTCAAACCCACGACCTTCAGGCTCAAAGGCCAATGCTCTACCAATTGAGCCACTGTCGCCCTACACACTTCAAGCTGAAAAGCTGAAATAAAGCTTGTGAATGATTTTCAAATTTTCAGAGTTTCAATTGTTATCTATTTTTATTGATTTGTTTAGAGCTACATTTTCACAAATACATGACAACATAAGACTGAGCCAGGGAAACATTAGGAGTTTATGGTCACATGGCTGGTTTGTTTTCAGCCGTAGTTTGAGTTGAGTTCAAGCAGGTTTTCTTTAGAGTAATTAATATAAAGCAGTGTTGTGAGGGATTTATTGATATGTCACATGAAATAGTCAACTTTCCTCCAAAACAAATCATTTCTTAGGGAGAAAATAATACATGACAAAGGTTTCTTGAGGTTTCTCACAATTTCTATAAAAGGTGTGACAGTGTGGGCCTGTTTCCTGGTGTAAATAATGCACAATACAAGATGACATCCATTTTTAAAGGCATTTCCATGAGTGGCTTTCTTGGCTCATCCCCTGATCACTCAAGTCATCCGCCTCTGGACGAAATGAAGACAGCTCCTCAAAATGCATGTGTTTTATATTCATAAGATTTGCTCTTAGCTGCAACACGCCTCATTGTTTGGGCTCATCTGGACATTCTTGATCTTGATTGTTTTCCAAAGACACTTAGTTTGTGCTATACTTATCAAGACTTCCTTGAATATTCATAATGGCCGAAAATAACCTTTGAAAATCTATGAAGAGACATGGGCATCATCGATAACAGCAGAAGTAATTAATATCTGAAATATGTATTATATATATAACAATAATAAAATGTTCAGTGTCCTGGATTCATTCTTTAGGAACATGTTTCCCGAAATATTCTCCAGTTGTTGTCAGTGTTGGAGTTGCCTCTTACCGGTCTGCAGACAGCGCTGTGAGGGTAAACACAGACACTCCCACGGAGGTGAGCTGGATGAACGGGATGAGTTTGCACCCCACGCGCCCGAACAGCCACTCATCCACCAGGTACCGACTGGCGTCCACGGGCGCGCAGGTGACCAGCAGAAGCAGGTCCCCCAGTGCGAGGCTGGATAAGAACAGGTTAGGTACTGTGCGCATTGACTTTACTAATAGACACGTTTTCATCAAAGTGGCGTTTCCCACAAGACCCACAGCGATGATGAGCGCGTACACGGCCGCGATCCCGACCCCCGGGAGCCAGATGTTGTAGCCGCGGTGCGTCGCGACTGACTCCAGGCTCATGTTCATCAGAAGAAAATGGTCTTCTGCGTTCAGAGCTGCGTCCACAGACATGATAGAGCACATGGAGCGGGCATGAGCACTGAGCAGTGCGCCTGGCTTTATAGACCCCTGCGCGCCGTGCGTCACGCGCATCTTGTTGGCTGCATTTGGCTGTCACAGCTTGCTCTTTTCGATCATTTCTGTTTTGTTCACACATGAATTAACTTACATACAACTTACCCAGATAAAGCGATTTCAGCTCCCCATCGTATTGTCCCCAAAGTGTCTTATACTGTATTTCCCACGTTGCTTTGTGGTGTACAGAGCAACTTATTTCTTTAAGCATCGGGTGTTGAAACATTATGAGAACAGAAAATCACCTTAAATATGGAAGTAGATTGAGTTACTTTGATTTTAAACCAATTTAATGTTTGTTTCTGAAAAGGAATTGGCCTGTATTTACTTTCGTAACACTGGTCACTATACTGCAGTTGTTTACTATTGCTTGACCAAAGTTACAGAACCTGAAGCTTTTGTACTAAACCTTAAACACAGTCTAACCGTAACAAAAGTACTGTTTGGCACTTTACTTTCATTTCTGCAACACACTTACTCTTTCTGCAACACACTTTATCCTTCTCACTACACACTGTGTCACACATAAGACACTGGTTCATAACATTGGGAAAACACATCTATTCAAAATACCAAACACATTGTGTGATTGACACACTTAGCCAGACATAAACAGGCCTCAGCTTATAAAGACAAGGAGAGAGGGGGTGGTTGCATATTTATGCAGAATGACGAGAAGATCTTCTGGAGGAGGAGGTGGTCAACAACACCTGTTCACCCACAGCAACATTGTGGAAACAGTTCGAGCAGGACCATGATCCATTATCCACACATGCACAATTGCCTAGTTTTACATTTTTACTGCATTTACAGTTACTGCATTGACACAAATGAAGTAAAGTATACTGTATAGTACTGTACAGTATCGAGTTGATATTATTTTTAACCTTCCAGTACTTTCATGGTTGTTGGTAAACCTTTGTTGAGAACAAAAACAGTTCAATTGAGCTTCACAGAAACTGATAAACAGAATAAAAGCAGTGTAAATTAAAGACAGCAGTGTTTTATATAAAGTACTGTGTGTTCACATGATGCAAGTGTGTATCATTTTGTCAACAGATAATGTTGACAAATGATTGCTTAGTTTTGAGAGCAGAGTTTGAGTTTTGATAGTGGAGTTTCCTTTTGACACAGATGTGAAGGATTTATGTCCCAGTATTGTGTCAGGTGATCTTGTGTGTAGAGTTTTGGGACAGGGAGTAAAATTTTGCTAAATGTGTTCAAGCAAAAGGAAAAAACTGTAATGTGTTGAAATATGACGTCCATGATGTGAATATTAAGGCTGTTGGAGCTTTATTTAAATGCTTAGGTTTATATCTCGACATGATAAGATGTCATCTTGACATCTCTACAACACCTGCTTTACATGCCACCACCAGCAAACCAGCAAAGTGAATGAAACTACTTGAACTCAACACAATATAAATGCAAATGTCTTGTATTTATCTCCAATGTATTAGTTTAAGCTGTGCAGAAGATTGGGGACAAATAATCTTCAAAGAGTGCTTTTCAGTTTGTCATGCTTCTCTCTAGCCACCACACCCCGAAAGCTTCTTCTGATTGCTCTGCTGCTTCAAGTGAAGCATTGATCATTTCGAATTGATTGCCTCTCTTTTTTTCCTGCCAAGTCCAAATGTTGTGGTTTGACATTTGTGTTTCTATGTCGGTGATTTTTATCCTTTTTAGAATCACATCCATTCAATCTCTAACTTCAAAGCATCTTGTTTAATCTGTCAGTGTCAACCTTGTGAATTAGAATATAGCGCAACATGAAAGTTACCTATTTTGGAGAAGTAAAATGTCATTGTTAAAAATTGTCCTAGTAAATGTATTTTGTGTGTATGTGTGTGTGTGTGTGTGTGTGTGTGTGTGTGTGTGTGTGTGTGTGTGTGTGTGTGTGTGTGTCAGATTCAGATTCAGATTCATTTATTACGTCGTCTCCCGAGGGAGAAATGTGTCTTTGATCAGGGGGGGTCAGTAACACCCACAGAAACAGACATGACATAAAAAACAAAAAACAAATACACATATAACATTCGTTGACACTAATACGCAATCACCTGATGTTATTCAGCAGCTGTATGGACTCAGGAACAAAAGAGTTCTTAAACCTATTGCTTTTGCACAGTGGGATCCTGTGCCTCCTCCCAGAATGCAGCAGTTTGTATTGTGAGTAGGGAACATGAGTGGAGTCTCTGATGATGTTCTTGGCCTGTCTAATCACTGACTGCTCAAAAATAGGTCTGAGGTGAGATCAGAGTGGACAGAGACACTCCCATGATCTTCCCGACTAGTTTTTGCAGCCTCTGGATCTGTGATTTGTATTTCACTCTGAGGTTACCAAACCAGCTCATGATTCCGTATCTCAATATAGATTCAATACTCGCTCTATAGAAGGTCAACATAACATTTTGCCTCACTCCAAATACTCTAAGCCTACGAAGAAAGCACAGCCGCTGATGGATCTTTGCACAGATACTCGACACATGATTGAGCCAACACAGTTCATTGTCCATTTCCCCCCCAGGTACCAATACGATGAAACCTGCTCAATTATTTGTCCATGAATGAAGACGTTGCTATGGTCCCCAATCGAATGAGGATCTACAATTATCTCTTTTGTGTGTTCACATTGACTTGTAAGTGGTGATCATCGCACCATTTTATGAACTGGTTGACTGCAGATGTGTGGCCACTGGTGTCAGAGCAGCTCGTGAGCAAACTCGGTAAAGCAGTGCCATCAGAAAATTTGATAATATACTGGTTGGGTTGCAAGCTAACACAGTCATTTGTGTCTAATGTAAACAAAAGAGAAGAGCTAACTGTGCCCTGGCGCACTCCTGTTCTGCAGACTGTTTCCCTCGAAAACACGGAATTGACCCTCACCTTTTGAGAGCGCTTTGTCAAAAAAGAGTAGTACCATTTAAGCAGCCAGCTATTTATATTTAAACAGACTAGCTTACGGACAAGAGTGTCGATATGGAGCGTATTCAATTCTGAGCTAAAGTCAAACAATACTACTCTTGCATATGCCTTAACATTTTCTAAGTTATTCAGAACCACATGTGCTACTGTTGAGATGGAGTCAGAAGTGCTTCCGTTCTTTGAATATGCAAATTGATATGGATCCAATAAATGTTCTACGTCCTCCTGAAGAAAAGCTGTTATAATTCTCTCCATTGCTTTCACTACATTCAAGGTTATGGCACCTGGCCTATAGTCGTTGTTCTCCAAGGGATACGCCTTTTTGGGCGTATGTGTGTGATGATAGGGCCACATTAACATTCAACACATGGTATGATGTGATGCAGGTCCTAGTTGTTATTAGTTTTGGTTGAAGTGATGGAATAATCTGTGTTTAAGAATAAAAACACACTGATTGGGTTTCCACAGCACTTCATTGTTCAGCGTACACTCTGCCATGTGGTATGAAATAAGGCAGTATACTGGAGTGGAGAGCAGGTCTCAGAAATTACAAGAATGCCCTTTGTAGGGCTCAAAGTCAATACTATTCAACTTTAATAGAAGCAAATAAAAACAACAGTAGATTTTTGTTTAGCACCGTCGCTAAACTCACAAACTGCCATAATGCAATCGAGCCTAAAATACCAAGCTCACTGAGAAGTGTTGTTTCACTTCTTTAATGATAAAATTACATCCATCCGTTACAAACTGGAGGAACCACTCCTAGTGTTGGTGATGGACAGGCTGAAGCGTTGCACTTGATTTCCGACCTGGATTCCTCAGTGTGCCTCGACAAGTTCACGGCTGTGAGCCAAGCGGAAGGGATCTCCGTGGTCGCATCTTCTATAGCCTTGTGAGATTTCATAACACTTTGAAGCAACTATTGTTAAAGTTCAAACTCATCCTTATTACATTTGCACGAGCCAGTGCTTTTCCCTTGTTTTGACTTCTGAAGGCCAAGCTACATGGCACTGTGGCAGCTGCTGATTGGAGGACTTCATTCTCCCATGCTATATTATCACTAACAGTTTGTTACATCCTTTGTTCGTGTGCTTTGTTTGTGCTGTCTCTACCATCGACAATAAAACATGTCTTCTGTCTGAATGAAAGACGCGATCCCAGACTTTGTCATCTTCTTCAGCCTCATCTTGCATTTTAGATGCAATCCCTGCTTGGCTCTTCAAAGACACACTTCCTTTGATAATAAATGTCCCACAAGCTTTTAAAACCGCTGTAATCAAACCCCTTCTGAAGAAAGCAAACCTGAATCCAGAACTACTTACAAGCTACAGACCAATCTCAAACCTCACTTTCATTTCTAAAATCTTGAAAAAGCTTCTAGCTGATCAGCTTTGCTGCCACCTGCAGATGCTGATAATGGACAAGTGTCAGTGTTGGTCCTACTGGACCTCAGCGCTACATTTGACACAATAGACCACAGCATTCTACTGCAGAGGCTAGAATGTGATATAGGTCTTAGAGGAACAGCCCTTGGCTGGTTTAAATCCTATTTATCGGATCGGTATCACTTTGTCAATGTGAATCAAAACTCGTCGCCCTATTCTAGAGGGGAATTTGGTGTGCCTCAGAGATTGATACTCGGACCGATTCTTTTCACACTCTACATGCTGCCGTTAGGCAACATCATTAAAAAGCATGGAATTAACTTTGACTGCTATGCAGATGTCACACAGCTTTATCTGCCGATGAAACCAAATCAGACAAAGCTGATTTCAGCTGAAAAGGCTCAGTGCCTGCATAAAATGTGGATGACTCTTAACTTTCTACTTCTTAACCCGGAGAAGAAGGAAAGTGATCCGACTCTGTCCAAAGCACCTGCGTGACTCCCTTGCTGACTAGATTATCACTCTCGATAAGGTCAGTATTGTACCCGGCAAAACTGTGAGGAATCTTGGAGTCATTTTGAATGAAGAACTCTCCTTTAAGGCTTATATAAACCAAGCAACTAAAACGGTGTATTTCCACTTGCGGAACATCGCTAAAATCAGGAATTTCCTTCCTAAAAGTTACGCGGAAAAACTGATCCACGCTTTTGTCACCTCAAGGCTTGACTACTGTAACGCTTTGCTGGCAGCGTGCCCAAAAACCTCTTTGAAGAGCTTCCAGCTCGTTCAGAATACAGCAGCAAGGATCTTAACAGGCACCAAAAAGGAGGGAGCACATAACTCCGGTGTTAAATCACTCCACTGGCTCCCTGTGGAGTACAGAATAAAGTTTAAAATCCTTCTTTTAACATACAAAGCCATAAATGGCACGGCTCCTTCTTATTTTCAAGACACAAAGGGTCAAAGCCACCAAACCGAGCACTGCGCTCGCAAAACGCCAGACGTCTGGTGGTTCCTCAGGTCTCAAAAAGCACCGTCGGCGGCAGAGCATTTAGATACCAAGCTTCGTTACTGTGGAATCAGCTCCCCACGCACGTTGAGGAAGCAGACATGGCCTCCACATTCAAGGCCAGGCTTAAAACACTCTTCTTCAATTTGGCAGGTTGTTTGTCCGGTCAGGTCGTTTGTCTGATCTTGGAGCCTGCTAGTACGGGACCTGGTCCGTTGCATCTTCAACCCTACATTCTAGGCTAGGCTTAAAACAGTCCTCTTTAGTTTAGCATATGGTTAAGAAGGTAAGACTCGGGGAAGGCTAAACTCCTCACACAGTCAGTCAAGCTGCATAGGGAGTCAGTTTGCTGGAAGAAGTATGGTAACTTGAGCACTATCCTCTCCTCCTTCCTACTTTATCTGTTTAGCATTATTAGGATTTTGACTGTAGTCTGTTCATTGCTATTCACTCGGTGTCCCATTGTCGCTTTCATGGCGCGACACTGGACCTCTGAACCTGGCCTCCTCCATCTACACCTGAGGACTGCCCTGCCCGACCCGCCTGGGAGCTGCCTCAGTCCTGCACCGGACCTGTCCACGTTCAGCGGCCACTGGTCCACGTTCTGAAGCTTAGGTCCTGGATCTAGAGCCCGTCCGTCCGGAGGAGCGGATCCCTTTCTCAAACTATAGGTCTCCCTGAGGTTTCTCACTTTTTTCCCACTGGGTTTTTTAGTTTTTCCTTGCCGATGCAGGAGGGTCTGTTGGACAGTTAGTGTCTAACAGAAAGGATGTGGTGATGATCCAGGACACTTTAACATTCTAAAACATGTTTGGACATTTATCAACATGTGTTCTACATTCTTTTGTGTCTTGACTGTTTATTTTCTGATCTGTGTTGGTGATTTCAATGGCTTTGTTAAGTCCTCTGAGATAACTTCTGTTGTGATTTAGGGCTATACAAGAATAAATTGTATTCTATTGAATTGCATTATTTTATAATTGAAAGTTTGTAGAAGTGTGTCCCTTTATCTATACCTAAACATCACGGTTTCTACTTTACAGTTTTTTCCTATTGCTTGAACACTTTAGACACATTCTTAGACCAAAGTTACAGAATTTGAAGCTTTTGTACTAAGCCTAAAAACACAGTCTAACCATTCCTTAAACAAAAGTACTTCTCCTTCTGCAACACACCATCCCCTGCTCAATACACACAGTGTCATACATAAGACACTGTTCATAAATGCAATCCTGAGTTATCATTGGGAAAACACATCTATTCAAAATACCAAAAACATTGTGTGATTGAAAACACAGACTTACAAAACGCGACACACATCAGCCATAAACAGGTCCCAGTTTAGCCAATTTCAGAACTTTGCTAGTATGGAGGAAGAGCAAGACAAGGAGAGAGGAGGCGGATGTGGTTGAAGATATTTCTGATGACATCGGAGCAACTTTGGAGGATCATGTGATAAACCATGGCCTCACTCTAAGGGAAGCAGAGGGTCCAGCTACAGCTCCATCATCAGGACCTTCAGATGGAAACATGTCTTCAACTCTACTGCAGACTGTATCTACAGTATTTACATTACTATACTGTGTCACATGTACTGTAACTCTCTACTGCAGACTGTATCTACAGTATTTACATTACTATACTGTGTTACATTGTACTGTATTGCAAGTTGGCTGCTGCTCCGTTTTGTGACACATACAATACAGTAAAGTACACAATATTATACCATTGATATGTCACAGTACAGTGTACAGTATGCAGTACTGTAAAAAAATATTAACAAATTGTGGTTGCATACTGTATTTATACAGAATGACTTTCCCTTGTGGAACAGTCTGAGCTGGGATCATGATCCATAATCCCAACCGCGCACAATTGCCTTGTTTTTCATTAGAGGTTTATTTTATGTTTCTGCACTGACTGTACAGTAAAGTATACTGCAGTACTGTGATATACAGTATTGTATATCATGGTTGGCTGTTGGTAAACCTTTGTTGAGAACAAAAACAGTTCCATTGAGCTTCACAGAAAACTGATAAACAGTGAGAATGAAAGACTGCTGTGTTTTGTATAAAGTACTCTAGAAAAGTGTGAAAGTGTTATCACATGATGCAATTGTGTATGTTTCATTTTGACAAATGATTGTTTAGTTTTGAGAGGAGTGTGTGAGTTTTGATTGTAGAGTTTCATTTGGAGACAGATGTGAAGGGCTTATGTCCCAGTGTTGTGTCAGGTTATCTTGTGTGTAGAGTTTTGGGTCAAGGAGCAAAATATGTTCAAGGTAAAGCAAAAAATTGTAAACACTTTAAAGCCTGAATAACGAGTCTATAACGTGTTTATTTCCATGTTATTCTGCAGCATATATTTCACTTTCTAAACCAGATCTAGACAAACAGTTTTGGTTTCATAAAAGCAGTATGGACTGTGCAAAATCACTGAAAGTTCAGCTTTTGTTGGGGCTGGCAGTCTTTCGCCTCTCTTCAGCACCACGGACAGCAGCAGGCTGAGCTTGCACACAGACATTTAGCTACATTTTGCTCAATCTCCCAAAACTCTACACACAAGATCACATGACAACACTGGGACATAAACCCTTCACATCTGTGTCAAAACTAAACTCTACTATCAATCAAACTCTGCTCTCAAAACTAAACAATCGTTTTTCAAAATTAAACTCTAAAAAATGATATCCACATGTGAATATACTTTCAGACTGGAAGCAACACACTGCAGTACTTTATATAAAACATTAGAGTACTTTATATAAAACAATAGAGTACTTTATATAAAACATTAGAGTACTTTATATAAAACATTAGAGTATTTTATGTAAAACATTAGAGTACTTTATATAAAACATCAGATTACTTTATGTAAAACATTAGAGTACTTTATATGAAACAACAGAGTACTTTATATAAAACACTTTGTCTTTGTCTTTCATTTTTTCATTTTTTCATTTTTATTTTGTTTCTCAGTTAGTTTCTGTGAAGCTCAATTGAAATGTTTTTATTCTCAACAAAGGTTTACCAACAACCATGAAATCAATACTGTATATCACAGTACTACAGTACAGTACAGTCAATGCAGTAACACAAACTAAAATGTACAACTATAGGCAATTGTGCGTGGGTGGATTATGGATCAGCGTCTCTGGACAGAACAATGTTCCTGCTTTTGGGTGAACAGGCGTTTTTGACGTTCTGTAGAAATATGCAACCACAAAGGTTTATTTCTTTTTTACAGTACTGTATACTGTACACAGTACTGTGTACTTTACAGTATTTCATGTTTTACAGTTTATAAACTGAGGCCTGTTTATGTCTGGCTGATGTGTGTCGCGTTTTGTAAGTAAGTGTTTTCATGTGTGTGTCTTAGTGTTTTCAATAGGTGTTTGGAATTTTGTTTTTTTTCTCAATAATAACACAGGATTGCATATATGAACAAAGTGTCTTATGACACTGTGTGTAGTGTTGCAGAAATTAAAGTAAAGTGCAAAGCAGTACTTTTGTTTAAGGAATGGTTAGACTGTGTTTAAGGTTTAAAGCTTCAGGTTTTGTCACTTTGGTCTAATCGTGTGTCTATAATGTTCAAGCAATAGGAAAACATCTGTAACCAAGACATTAGTCTCTTGTTTAAGCCTATGGACATGGATGTGCTGATGTTGCCTTAATGGTTTATGAAGACATTGAAAAAGAGTGAGATAGTGAGAGTGAGACACGTGTGATAAAAGGTGACAGACTCATTGACAACTAAAGGGAAAAGCACACGTCCCAGACTCGTCGTGAGCCACAGCCTGTGATTGGGCAGCGCGCAGAGCAGCTCTCTCCTCCTTCGATGCCTTCACATCGTGTTGAGGGACAGTGATGGAGAACAACCGCTGCTTCGCCAACAGGTTTGCGGACTTCCAAGGCGGCCTGCTGCCGGGACAAGGCGCTGAGACCATTGTCCCCGCTGTGGTCTCCACAGTGGACAAGATCCTGAAGAAGGTTCCTCTGGATGTGGCGGACTGTGATGGAGGGCTGTATGACGGTCCCGCAGGGGTGGCCTACATGCTGTTCCACGTCAGTGAGTGTCCGCTCTTCTCTCAGCAGAGGGACGCGTACTTGAAGACGGCCAAGCTCATCATCGACACGTCGGTGAGGTCCGCGGACGCGGAGCCGGAGAAGAGCATGCGCGCCGCCTTCCTCCTCGGAGGCGCAGGGATCTACGCCGTGGCGGCGATGGTCTACAAGGCTCTGGGGCTGGCAGACTTCGTCAAACCCTTGACCAAATTTCGCAACCTGTGGGAGGTGTGTGCCCCCATCCATTTCCTGGAGTGCGGCTCTGATGAGCTGTTCGTGGGGCGCGCTGGATACCTGTGCGCGGCTCTGGTGCTGAGGCAGAAACTGGGCATCGAGGTAAAACAACACAACAAAACTTTACGCTGCAGCACTATGTCGTGAAGACAAGAATTCAACTTTGTAGTACATTTGGTGTCAAGGTCATAATGTTGTTACATCAATTGCTTTTTGTAATGAAGCAAACGTTGATAGGCTTTGTTTAAACTTATGACTTTAAATCTATTCAACTGCTGAGACTCTTAAAAATGTTCTTCCCATGATCTAACTGGAGTCAGGTTGAACATTCAAACGTATTTCATCAATAACGTTTCCATGGTGACAGAGCCAACTTCCTAAAGTTATGAATACAAATTTATAAAAGCATATCATTGGATATTGTAATCATGGTATTGCAAATCAATTGTGTTTTGTAACATTGTCTAAAGGCACCCAAAACTAACCAGAAGCATTTGTTCCAGATCCTGAGCAAAGATCAAATTAAATCCATCTGTCAAGCAATCATTGAGTCTGGAAAACAGTACGCACGGAGGAAAAGGAAGCCCTTCTCTCTCATGTACTCATACTATGGGACGGAGTACTTAGGTAAGATCAGACCATATCAGCCGGTTTAGTGGAATACAAATTATACCAAGGTGTCCAGATTAGCTGACCTCTGGCCATAAGAGGATTCACAGTTATTATAAAATATGAAACATCCACTAATGAAACCAGAGGCAACTCCTTCAGCGTTGGGAGGAGTGCCTCAGTGATCATGTGGAAGCTAATAGCAGGTTTTCTCCATAAACCTTAGGCAACAATCAAGTCTGCAGTGAGGAAACGTGAACTTCAACATCTGGAGAACCAACTTCAGATACTACAGGTTTCCTTTTAAAACAACATGTATGTGCAGCATGTGCCACAGTTTAACACTAGAACTCCCAGAAGTATGAAACTACCAGAACTCCCAGAGCCTTCATTTTAACTTTTCCTGTTTAAAACAAGGAAACTCTGAAAAGTGATGGCAGTCGTGATTCAGAATTTGACCAGAAAAGAAGAAAATTAACAATATTTTATTCTCTTTACAATTAAATACTAATATAAACTCTATTTCCCTATCTTTCCCTATGAGCTGAGCAAAATGAACTGTCCCTACCGGCCTATAAACTGTCCCTGCTCAGACTAACACAGCATATATTGATCAAATATAGTAAATGTGCAAAGGGACGTGTCGTATCAGGAGACGTCATCCTGGGGCCCATAGCGGCAAGACCAGATCTGGGTCTGGTCTTGAATTTTTGTCCAACAGTAGAGTATATGAATAAAAATGGAAATACAGGACAATAAACTGTTTGTTGGAAGGCTAATGCTAACTGGTAGAAAGTTAACGTTCACCTTCATTTCAAGATTTCATAAAAATAATGACAATAATGAAACAGAAAAAGTCACTAGAATATGAAGGAAAAAAATGGAAATGAGCTGAGTAATTACACTTTTCTGGTGTTCTAGCGTTAAATGCATGTCAGTGGCTATATTTAAACACACAAGTTTGTTGTCAAATAATAAACACAGTTCTGCTTCGGATCATTGGAAGACACACTATTTGCCACGTGTCACTTTTGCATTTTGGACGAGTGCCGCCTCAGAGGACAATGTGAGCACAAACACCACAAGGTCAAAGCATCTGCTGTTGGATCTGATTCCCACAGTCCTGTGTAGGGCCACGAGAGATTCACTATAGAGCAGCCTATGTTATAGTCTATGTAAGTAAGTACGTCATCTTTATTTATATAGCGCCTTACAGACCAGAGTCAAAAAGCGCTTTATAATTGTTGTGGGAATTTATCACTCAGTCCAAGCATGGGGAGAGGGTCGCCATAAAGGAGCCGCATGCCAGACCATACATTTATAGAGGTAGGGGAAACCGGAGCACAACATGCAAACTCCACAGAGAAAGGCCTGGAGGCACAAGTGCTAACCACTGCACCACTGTGCCCCCATTTAAATCCTATACTATAGTGAGGCTGGAAATGTGCGCAATACAGACAAGATGTAGATTCAAGTAAAACCATTATTGTTATAGAGACAAAAAACACACAAACATAGAATATTCAAAGATATTCTACAAAGGCAATTTCTCCAATGCTTCCAGAGTTCAGGAGTGTGCCTAACACAAGAGATGTAAAAACCTTCAGTATCTCATTTAAAGAGTCCTCAGAGTGTTATAGATAAAGTTTCTAATCACAGAATTCAGTGCAGGTATTGTTTTAAACATTCAGTGTAATACCTTTTTTTTTTTCAAGTTAGTCTAGTTTGGTTTTTTAAACTAGAAACTCACTTGAAAGCTCATATTTGGGCTTTGCGAGCCTGACCAGCTACATTAGCTACATTAGCGCCACTTTCAGAAATGTGTGACACAATCAGAAAAACAGATGTCAGTATATACATATAAAAATCTCAGGTCCATTAAGGATCTGATTGATTTGCAGTAAAACCACATTGGAATACATTTGCAGAAGTCCCCATTGTGCACCAGACAAGAGCAGGAAAGAAGTTTCAATACAAGTGCCACACAAATAAAAATGTCTATAGAGGCGGAGCTGTAGTTGGTTGGATGACACTTTGACCTTGTGTTTATGATCTCAATGAATAATTGGAGTTAGCGAGGCAGAGGGCCATATTGCATGAGTTTGGACATGCCGGGGCTTGGCAGCTCCTGCATGGCTGGGGGGGGGGTGGATCCTGGTGGAGACATGTTTTCAGGAGCTCTGTGATGTTTGTCCAGGCGCAGCCCACGGCCTCTCGTCGGTGCTGCAGATGCTGCTCAGTTACCAGGACGTGCTGAGTGCCGTGGAGAAGGACCTGGTGTGGCAGAGTGTGGACTTTCTGATGAACCAGGAGCAGAACTGTAACTGGCCGGCGGAACTGGGAGCCATCATTGAGAGGGAGAACGAGCTGGTACACTGGTGTCATGGAGCGCCAGGTGGACAACCTATTTCCTATTATTTATTTGTTTTTTTTAGTTTATTTGAATTAGTTTATGAGTCTGCGCCTCCAAACAGTTCCAAATGTAGGAAAACATTTGGACATTTCTTCCCAACAATTCCTATACAGTTGCAATGTCACCTTCCTTCCAACTGATGTAGAATTCTAGAACATGAAGGCAACCTATTGGGGACATCTAAGCCAGAGAGTTTGTGTTGTGTAACACGTCTCTGTGGGGCGTCTGCTTCATGCTCTAAAAATCTCCAAATGTGTCTCTGCGCATCACAACAAACTAAAGTAGTAGAAATTCTTTTGTTCAAGAACAATAACAATGAAGACATTTTCACACAATATACAACCACGCCAATTAAAACCAGAATCAAAGCAGAATCAAAGATTTCTCTATTCCAAATTTCTTTCCATTGATAAAACACATTTGAAGCATTATCAATGGCATCATTCTGCAAAAAATCCTCATCATCTTTCTGGAGACAAATTAGACAACATTTATTCTAGTCTATCTAGATTTCTTTAAACCATGTTTCAACATAATCACAGATCTGGAATTGTGTTTAGATTGATAGTTTTATAGATCATGGTCTAGATGTCAGGAATAATATCTGGCACAAACATGTAACTCCGCCCCTTCTGTCTAAAAACTCCTGTCTCAGTCTTGTATTAGTAAAATGTTGTTGTATCACTCTGAGATCACACTCAGAGCAGTTTTCTGCCTTTTACAAGTATCGCTCATAAATTCCTTTTTTTTGCTATCATGTTGCTGTGTTAATGTGGGATGTTTCTTCTTTAAATCTTCTTTAAAAGTGTGGTTTGTGTGTTTCATGCAGGTGTGGCGTACCTCTTTGCTAAAGCGTACCTCATCAATAAGAAGCCGCAGTACCTGGACACTTGTATTCGCAGTGGGGAGCTGGTGTGGCAGAAAGGGCTGCTGAAGAAAGGTCCTGGCATCTGTCACGGTGTGGCAGGCAGCGCTTATGTGTTCCTTCTGCTCTACCGCCTCACGGGGAACTCCAAATACATCTATCGCGCTCAGAGGCAAGACTCACTACTGTACCCACTGACATCTAGGCTGGAAGAAGATGTTTGAAAGTTTACAACCCCTGTCTGTAATAACACAAACACATCATGGTCAACACGGTCATTCCCGGTCGGAACAGGACCTTTCTGAGTGGAGTTTACAAGTTCTCCCCATGTCTGTGTAGGTTTCCTCAGGGTGCTCCGGTTTCCCCTACCATTAAAAACATGCACAAAAGGTGTGAATGTAATGAGTGAGTGAATGGATGATGTTGGTAGGGGCTTTGATGTACCAGTGTGTTCGGCGTTTTTCTTCCGTCATCACCGCGTCAAGAGCAATATCTGAACTCTGAACATTGTACAGCGCTTTGGGTGACCTTGGTCAAATGCGCTATATAGATAAAGAGAACTTACTTACTATGGTTAGTGGTTGTGTGAAGACCATTAATGTCAAATATTGTTTACTATATTATTGTTTACTTAAATTATTATGGCAACAGGAACTATGTTGTATGTTGTATGTACCTGTGTTCCATTCTCCAGTATATTTCCCCTGTAACATCTATGACGGCCGTACTTGCATGTAAAAGCAAGATGATGTCAGACCTCGGAAGCTAACTAAGCAGGGCAGGACCTGGTTTACAATGTGATGGGAGACCGCTGGAAACACCAGGGGCTACAGTCGGGCGGTCGCAACTGTGAAGAGCCACATTGCCTAGAATGAGTCTGGTGTGTGCGTGAATGGTTGGTGGTGGTCGGAGGGGTTTATCACCACCGTGTATGGAGTGAATGAATAATGACACCTTGAGTGTCCTAAAAAGCGCTTTATAAAACCAATGATTTATTATTTTCATTTTCATTATAACAGTAGTTGTGGATGAGGTTCTTTATCCTCTGATGATAAAAAGCCTTCAGTTCCTGTAATTTCAGAATCAGAATCAGAATCAGAATCAGAATCATTTTTATTGCCAACGTAAGTAACGGGAGGTCACAGACTTGGAAATTGCTTTGGCTCAGTGCAACAGTCAAAAAGAGATAATAAAAATAAGAATAAAAAACACTTCTAAAGAATAAATTTAAATTTAAAATAGAGTTACAGTTACTATTTACAATATACAAGTGCACATGGTGCACACAATGTAAGGTGACAGCAGTACAGTGAAGTAAAGTGACGTATGATGGGCAGTAAAGTGACTTTATAAAGGGCGGGGGGACAGGTTAAGAAGTGTTCAAGAGTCCAACAGCAGAGGGGAAGAAACTGTTCTTGTGGCGGGAGGTTCTAGTCCTGATGGACCGCAGCCTCCTGCCTGAGGGGAGTGGTTGGAATAGTCCATGTGCAGGGTGAGAGGGGTCGGCTGTGATACGACCAGCCCGGCCTCGAGCTCGGGCGACGTACAGGTCCTGCAGCGATGGAAGGCTGCGGCCGATCACTTCCTCTGCAGAGCGCACAATGCGCTGTAGTCTCTGTTTGTCCCTGACTGTGGCTCCAGCGAACCACACGGTGATGGAGGAGGTGAGGATGGACTCGATGATGGCCGTGTAGAACTGCACCAACATCTGTGCAGGCAGCTTGGCTTTCCTGAGCTGCCGCAGGAAGTACATCCTCTGCTGGGCCTTCTTGATGAGGGAGCTGATGGTCGGCTCCCACTTGAGGTCCTGGGTGATGGTGGTGCCCAGGAAACGGAAGGACTCCACAGAGGTGATGGGGGAGTCCATCACGGAGGGTGGGGGCGGGGGGACAGTGCTCTTCCTGAAGTCCACAATCATCTCCACTGTCTTCTGGGCGTTCAGCTCCAGGTTGTTACCACTGCACCAGGACACCAGCCGGTCCACCTCCCTCCTGTAGGCGGACTCATCGTTGTTGGAGATGAGTCCAATGAGGGTGGTGTCGTCCGCGAACTTGATCAGCTTCACGGAGTCGTGGCTGGAGGTGCAGTGGTTGGTGTACAGGGAGAAGAGCAGGGGAGAAAGAACACAGCCCTGTGGGGCTCCTGTATTTATAATCCGAGAGTCCGAGACATTCTTCCCCAGACGCACTCGCTGAATTTCCCAGGCCACCTTGCATGAACTGCACGATTCAGCTCTTCACAAAGCAGTTTTATTATATATATAATTTGAAGAAAAAAAAGAATAAAACATGTTTATTTGACAATAAATGGCTTCCCACAACTACAAATAATGAGCAAAAAAAGTGTTTGTTATAATTAGTAACTTCGGAAATATGGCCAATACAATAAACCCTTTGACCAGGTGTGTAAACTTTAAAGCACAGCAGTACATTTTAACCTCGGTCTTGATAGGTTCAGTCATATATCATTGATGCTTCACTTATCACTGGTTGTATTTGTTCGTAGGTTTGCAGAGTTCATCTTCACAGAGGAGTTTAAATCCGGCTCCCACTCTGTCACAAGTATCTACAGTTTATTTGAAGGCCTCTCTGGGACCGTCTGCTTCCTGGTGGACCTGCTGCAGCCGGACCAGTCCGAGTTCCCGCTCTTCAGCATCTTTGTGTGAACAAGGTCTGATCTGGAATTGCAAAAGTAGCGTGTGCTTAATCCATCCTCTCAAAAGAAAATGTTCTCATACTAACTCCATATAACTTAGTTGAAATGGTGGTTGCAATACAAGAGTAGCTTTCCCTAATGCCAAACTAGTCCAATCCAAAATATGAATATTATTTTATGTATATTTTATATTATATAATGGTGTATTTAATTTATTTACTTACTATTTACTTTATTTAATTATTTACTAAAGCCATAAATAATTTATTTAATTTGGGACGAATAAAAGTTTCCTTATTCCCTCTTGAAAAACTCCTGCAACGCTGCTCTCTTGACAGTTGTGATAGGAGGTAGTCTCAGTCCTGGGGTTTTAAACTGTCAATCATTCTGTCTGTGTTTTTAAAGGGGCCATCTGTAGAATGAGCTCCTCTGATTTGTCCCAGTTGCTTCTTCTGACTAAGATATGGTTTCACACAACCATAAAACAGTGTGTGTCATCATTAAGGATGTAATTGTTTTGGCCATAATCGTTTCCACACAATAAGGGAAAAAGGTGTTGTGTTGTCATTCTTAATATCCCAAATATGGCCTGGTTCAGTGTCTATGTACTCATCAATTTGCATGTCAAATGTTTGTCAATTTGACATGCAAAAATGGATGAACAAAGAAAAAATATGCTAAAACAAAGATACTAAAGCATCGTAACAAACACACACACATACACACAGTATTGGCAAAATTAATAGCATCAGCAAACTCAATAAAAAAAATATAAATTACATTTTAAACAATTAAGTCTCCAAACATACAAAAATACAATTACAGCCAGTCATTGCTATTCTTCAGTGAAAAGGACAATTATTCCTACTGGTGGTCACAAGATGTGTGATTATTTTATAGAGGGTTAATGAAAATGAATGCTTTATGTTTCTAGAAAGTTGTTTGTATTGAAGAGACGTTAAAACAGTGGAATAATTTCACCTCACCATTACACATAGTAATTCTGCATGTATTCTGCTCGGACTCGGGGGTACAGTAAATGTACAGGGAGCTCAGGTAAAAACACATGCACACAGAGAACACAAAGACGTAGTCCCCAGTCTGAAAACAGTGAAAAAAGGGTCACATAATGCCTTTCATGTATTACTATTTGTAGATCTTCACCAGCTCAGCACCGCGTGAACTGTGGCCCGTCTTTCCCTGGTCCCATCTTTGTATAGTCCTCAGGCTACAGCATAGTCCTCCGGAAGTTGTGCAATTGTTTACATCAGTTACAACACATGTGCCCTGAAGAAAATAGATACTCAAACCCTGCTGTTGGTGTTTTTAGCTGTTAAAAAGACTAATGTGTCCTGTCTGTTATATGTATTTCCTGTGGGAGTTCGTCCTTGTACTGTGTTCTCTGTGCAATAGGTTTTGTGGTGAAACTCAGAAGCTCAGTCATGTCCTCCAGCTCACAGTGCTACTTTGCAAACCAAATACAGTGTTCATGAATGAATTTACAATTGTGAAAATGAGGCCTTACATTGAAAAGTGTCAGTGTTTGGACATTTTGTTAAATGTTGAAGAAGTAGCCAACATGAAAATAATATATATATACAGTATTTTGACATTGTGTTGGTGATGGTTTGACATTTACAAACCAAAGCAGTTTCTCAGTGCTTGTACGTCTGTTGTGGAGACATTTCTACAGTGTGAACATGCAGATTTATCATGCATTTATACTATTGTCCGCTATTATTAAATTATCACAATACTGAGTCAGTGTTATCCTTTACGCCAACACCAACTCTCATCTAACATTATGTGACATACTGCCGTTGTATTCTCTGATCCTCCAAACATTTCAGATATAAGTCTAAATTTGAGCAGTTGTCTAACTACATGTGTTGCTTTACAGTTTTAAAGATAGAAATATGCATTTGAGCACAAACAGCAGCAGGTTTGACTTGTCTGACTGTGAGCCGCGCGCATGCGCACTGGAGTGTCTTTACTGGCGCCCCCCGCGGTCATCCCTCGGTCTCAGTGAAAACATCCCGCTGACAGAGCGCGGATGAACTGTGGACAAGCGGGGCGCAGTCCCATCCAGGGGGGTCTGCGCAGTGGGCCCCAGATGGCGGCGTGAGTGAAGGATGCGACTCCCCATCTCCATCTTTGTGTCGGTGTCACTGTTCACAGCCGAGACCACCGCCGCGCTGTACCTCAGCTCCACGTACCGTTCTGCGGGGGACAGGATCTGGCAGGCGCTCACGCTCCTGTTCACACTGGTGCCCTCAGTGCTGGTCCAGCTCACCCTCACCTTCATCCACAGAGACCTAAGCCGGGACAGACCCCTGGTGCTCCTGCTGCACATCCTGCAGCTGGGACCCATCGTCAGGTCAGTGTGTGTGTGTGTGTGTGTGTGCGTGTGTCTGTGTGTCTCTCTGTGTGTGTGTCATGCCCACAGGTGTGTTACCGTGTTTAACGTGCCCTGCCTGGTGTGATAATCCTCCGAGTGTTGTCCAAAAATGCTGCTGGTGTGTTCCCTTTGTCTCCCCCGCTGCACAGTCCGCAGTGACACTCCATATGACTTTCCACAGGATCAATGTATGCAGCACGTCGATGTTTCCCATTTAACTCTCATAGATTGTCTGTGAATGGAGTGGGTTCATATGGTTAATGCAGCCGTAAGCCTGGACTAAAGGCGTCATATAAACAAGGCCTGAAGTGAATGATTAATTAATGACTGCTCTATCCTAAAAGCTCATAAACTGACAATCTGAGGCAGAGCTGCAGTGAGCAGAGTGTGATGGAGGTTGTCCTGATCTGACCATCTGCCTCAGCCATAGGAAATCCAAGCCCTAATCCTAGTGTTGCATGGACTAGTAACCTATATATTATGTGAAATGTCTTTTCCTCTGTAGTTTCCTTCTTCACTCTATGCTCATCTATCTCACTGGGACAAAGAGAAAGTACCTTTTTTTAGTCCTTACATGTTAATGGAATTCGAAAAGCACAAATTGAAATAACCGGTTACTATTGTGCTTTAATTATAATTGGGCTGTTAGGCCAACGGTCGGTCAGAAACGACCGGAAAGCAGAAGCCTTTGTTTTCTCTGACAAGACGCTTCCTGTTAAAGTAGCTGGGCTTTTATGGATTGAGTGGAAGTGCAACTTGAGGAAGCATGATCTTCTGTCTGCTTCTCTCCTCAGCTCTTACTCTGATGCAAGTTATTCAGTCAGATCAAAAGAACAAACACTTCATTTATCAACAGTTTGTCATTTATTCTATTGAGCTCAAAACAATAGTTTGTATTCAGGGACATAGGGACATGGTTTTCTGTGTTTTATCCAGGTTTTTTTCCCCACATTGGTGCTCATCTGATGTTTGAGCCAGCATTCCTCCGAGGTAACAGACGAAGGCCTTATTTCAAGTCAAGAGCCCATCTAAGAATAGCACATGTCATAGCTGCCTCCTTATCTCACAGCACATTGGGACGTTCCTCTGGCCCCTCGTCCTTTGCTCAAACAACACTGTCCTCATGGCCTTCCTGTTTTACAGTGTATTTACTGTTCCCATAACCCCACTCTCCAGGAAAGACTTGTTTAATGCAGACCTACGTCAAACTTGTGCCCACTTGAAATAGATTCTGCAAAATGATCTTCTCAGGCATTTGTGTGTTTAGTGTTTCTATTTCAATTGTGATTCAACAATTATTCTGCATGTTTTGTAAACACTATGCACATACAAGCATTTGATACTAGTGTACACGTTAGAAGTATGTGATATTACTGCACACGTCAGCAGTATGTGATATTACTGCACACGTCAGCAGTATGTGATATTACTGCACACGTCAGCAGAATGTGATATTACTGCACACGTCAGCAGTATGTGATATTACTGCACACGTCAGCAGTATGTGATATTACTGCACACGTCAGCAGTATGTGATATTACTGCACACGTCAGCAGCATGTGATATTACTGCACACGTCAGCAGTATGTGATATTACTGCACACGTCAGCAGCATGTGATATTACTGCACACGTCAGCAGCATGTGATACAACTGTACATGTTAACAGCATGTGATACAACTGTACATGTTAACAGCATGTGATACTACTGTACATTTCAGCAGTATGTGATCATACTTAACACGTTAACAGCATGTGATACTACTAGGGCTGAAACAACTAATCGATTAATCGACGACTAATCGATTATTGAAATAGTCGACAACTATTTTAGTAATCGATTAATCGTTTTCTGGTTCACACGGACTCAAACAGAGCAAAAATGACATGAAAATGTAGTATTTTTGATTAAAACCGACTTTGTTTTTATAATTTCATGAATATCTGTCTGTCTCATCCAATCAGAGCAGAATTAGCACAAAGAGCCTGTTACAAACATTTACTTTAAGTTTACGCCATCAATACGTCCTCGAGTGTTGCCACTTTAGCTTTTTGTGATGAAAAAATATTTTTTTTCTAAACAATTCACAGCCAAGCGATTACTCGATTAATCGGAAAAATAATCAATAGATTAATCGATTACAAAATAATCGTTAGTTGCAGCTCTAGATACTACTGTACATGTTAACAGCATGTGATACAACTGTACATGTTAACAGCATGTGATACTACTGTACATTTCAGCAGTATGTGATCATACTTAACACGTTAACAGCATGTGATACTACTAGGGCTGAAACAACTAATCGATTAATCGACGACTAATCGATTATTGAAATAGTCGACAACTATTTTAGTAATCGATTAATCGTTTTCTGGTTCACACGGACTCAAACAGAGCAAAAATGACATGAAAATGTAGTATTTTTGATTAAAACCGACTTTGTTTTTATAATTTCATGAATATCTGTCTGTCTCATCCAATCAGATAGCAGAATTAGCACAAAGAGCCTGTTACAAACATTTACTTTAAGTTTACGCCATCAATACGTCCTCGAGTGTTGCCACTTTAGCTTTTTGTGATGAAAAAATATTTTTTTTCTAAACAATTCACAGCCAAGCGATTACTCGATTAATCGGAAAAATAATCAATAGATTAATCGATTACAAAATAATCGTTAGTTGCAGCTCTAGATACTACTGTACATGTTAGCCTCATTTGATGCTACTGCACATGTGACACAAATGAAATAATCTGATTTGATCTTTTGGCATTCCATTTATTGATGCGCTGAGAGCAGCTAAGCGTGATCCACCTCTCTCCACACACACTGTAAACTCATGTCAGACAGATGGCAGCACTTATGTCAACAGTGAGAATGATCAGTGTGAGTGTTGATGTGAATCTGGCCTCTACTCAAGAGTTTACACACCCAGTCAGACACTTGGATTGTCTTGGCCATCATTCAGAAATTATGGATAATAACACTATTTTCACATCATTAGCGGTTGTGTTCTGATTTCAAATTATAACCAATCTTGGGAACACTCAAATGGCCAGGTCATGTAAGGCTGTCCAGGAATTCAAAATAACTGGGGACTTAAAAAAAAAAAAAAAACCCTAAATAATTGTATTTTTCAAGCTGAATTTTGAGGATTTTTCTTAACTTGATGAACCCTAGGTCATTTAGACCCCTTTAAACCCTAATTTAGACAAAGTACACATAAAGGGTCGACTTTTCATCACTGATTTGGGTCATTTTGTTATCAGGTTTGGAGAAAGACATGCTAATGAGACCTGGAGGGTGGAGACTTCTGATCAGGGTCAGAGCAGTTTTTGTTGTAATTATTGTGTAAAAATAGAATAAAGTCTTTGTTATCATTCAAAATGTAGAAAATAGAGACAACATATAACCTATTTCTTCCTGGGTGTGTAAGAGAAGATAGAACCTTTATTTGTCCCACAGAGGGGAAATAAAGCAATTCTGCATTCATAACAAATCCTTTTTTCTGCAACAAAATAACCATACATGTATCACTTCTGGACAGGGTTTTTAAAAATCCTTTCAATCTGCTCTCCTCTTGCGAAAGGTGTCTGGAAGCCTTCTGCATCTATGGCAGCGTGGGCCGCATGGAGGAGCCCTATGTCAGCATCACCAGAAAGAAGCAGATCCCGCGGCGAGGGCAGTCTGAGGAGGTGGAGCGGCAGGTGGGGCAGGCGGAGGGGAAACTCTTCACTCACAGAGCAGCCTTCGCCCGCACCTCTGTCATCCAGGCCTTCCTCGGATCTGCCCCCCAACTCACCCTCCAGCTCTACATCTGCGTGCTGCAGCGAGGCATGTCTATTGGCAGAGGTGAGGCAGTTTAGGGGGTTTCGGGTTGATTCTAAGAACTAGAGGCCGCTTGAGTCTTTTTATATTTTCTTTTGAGTCAGTCTGGCTAAAATGAGCATGTGTCCTCCTACACAGCTCTTCTGTCATGTGGGCTGATTAGTGACATATTGGAAACGAGAGGCAGTGTTGTCATGAATCAAAGTTATGTAACTGTTGATGCTGAGCTGGGGTCAGCAGTGTCATAGTGTTTGGAGCTTGTGTGGGTGCGTGTGATCCACATTTAAGCTAAATTAGGTCGATGTCAAGTGAAATGGAACAGCTTTGACTCTAATCAACTATTTTACACCAATTGTGTGTTTTTGTCCGTCTTCCCTCCCAGGCACGTTAATGGTGATCAGCCTACTGTCTATAGTTTATGGAGCACTGCGCTGCAACATCCTGGCCATCAAGATCAAGTATGACGAGTATGAGGTGGACGTGGGACCCTTTGCGTACGCGTGCATCTTTCTGTGGAGGAGTTTTGAGATCGCCACTCGTGTGGTGGTGCTGGTGCTGTTCAGCTCTGTGCTGCAGCTCTGGGTGCTCCCTGTGGTTTTGATTAACTTCTTGGTCTTTTCTCTCTACCCTTGGATCCTGTTCTGGCTGAGCCACTGTCCTTTCCCTGAGAATATTGAGAAAACTCTGTCCAGACTAGGAACCACCATTGTGCTTTGTCTGCTCACCTTCCTCTATGCAGGTATCAACATGTTCTGCTGGTCTGCAGTACAGGTTAAACTGAGCGACCCGGACCTTATCAACAAATCCCAGAACTGGTATCGCATGGCGGTCTACTACATGCTGCGCTTTGTGGAGAATGCTTCACTGCTTCTGCTGTGGTATATCTTCAGAACAGACGTTTACGATGATATCTGTGCTCCTCTGCTGGTGCTGCAGCTGCTGGTAGCTTATACCATTGGGATCTTCTTCATGCTGGTATTTTACCAGTTCTGCCATCCTTGCAGAAGACTCTTCTCCTCCAGTATGCGCCAGGGTCTCTGGGACTGCTCCTTACTGCTCTGCTTCATGTGTGACTCCGCCCCATCTCCCATCAGCACCACAGGCAAAGCTGCACTACAGCCGCCCAGCCCCTACAGCAAGGACCCACTCAGTGACCAGGTCAGCGACTCAGATGACCACATGCCCAACGATACAATACATGAAATTCTCAATGAGACTGTATGTGACAGTCCTAATGAGGTGTCCACAGACGTCAACGGCACACTGGCCACAGACAACCCTCCGATGCCTGATTCGTTTGGATAAATAACAAATAACACAAGGACAACTGCAGAACACAAGAAGCACAGTGACGAAGCAAAAACAGTGAATTGGGGAAGATGAAATCCGTCTGCCAAATTTGAGCACCTGGCTCATAACTATAGAACATCTTTGAATAATTTGTGAATCTTCTGCACTGCCGTCTTTTTAGTTCCTTTGTCTGCGTTTACATAAAGCATGGCTACAAATGTGTTTACTTGCTCGGGCTGAATAAGCTCACAAAATGAAGTTAACCAGGCTTTGAATCCTGCACTTTGTACTTATGCTGCATTATTAAAATCACAGTGAGTCACAAGTTGATGCCGACAGTATGGAGCATGAAATCTTCTGGGATCAATAGGATTTAAAACCAATAACTACAAAACTTTTAAAGACAACAATAGCTTTATCAAGACAATCTGCTGCTTTTGCTGTATTTGTGCTGAATGAGTTTTTTCACTTGATGCTTTGTGCAGATGTTACTGTGAAGCATGAGGACGACACTTTTTGCACGTCGAGATGTAAATACGTTTTCATCTGTCAATGTCAAGTGCGTCTAAACACAATTGTCTTATGTTTGTGCTTACATTTACTGTATGAGAAGGACAGCCTTCTGTATCTCACATCAGTGCTCCTGTTTTCAAAGATTGAAAATAATGCTACAAAACTAAATTGCACACCCATTTATAAAAAAAAGCATTTAAAATAAAGACATTTATATTTATCAGAAATGTCCTCTCATTTTTAATGCATCTCATGTCCCTAATACAAGTGGTAAGTATGTTGATCTATTTTAAACTCTTTGGTTTCATAAAATCATTTTGGTTGTTTCAAAAGAAAGTCTTGTTTAAAGTTAATCTTAAGAGAATAACTCCAGAAATCGCACCACACATTTGTTTAAAAGAAAACTGATAAAGTAACTTGTACAGTTTGGATTGGATTTTTGAAGTGGATTGCATCAGTGATCAATGCAGGAAGATTCTGGCAACCAAGGTTTACAATTAAAATGACTTTTAGACTACAAAGTGTGCATATTACATGTAGTCCTTTAGTCAAATTGAAGGAACAAATCAGCCCACAACTTACTGTTTTAGGAGAAAACAATCTTTTAAATACTGAGAGCTGATTAGCAGAGTGAGAGCAGTGGGAGCTGACACTTGAGACCTGGGAACTAGTTACATTAATGTTTTCTTGGTTCTTGTGAAAGACAAGTTTAGATGTATTACCTAATGGTAAGGTAAGTAAGTAATGTTTGTTTATATAGCTCATTTTTTACAGACCAAGGTCACCCAAAGCGCTTTACAATGTTTCAGAGTTCAGATATTGTTCCAATCATTCCGCACATGGTGATGACGGAAGCGAGCCGCTGAACACACTGGCATCAGCTCCCAATTATCACCATCCATTCACTCTCATTTACATTCATACCTATTGTGCGGTTGATGTAAGGTAACATCTAAACTTGTCTTTCAAAAGAACCAAAAAAGCTTTTTAACTAAGACAATGAACCTTTTTGAATAGTTACATGAATGTTAAAGGTATTTTTTGGTGATTTCAAACATAGGTTCTCCAGCTTTTATGCATGCTTTTAGACTCATCACTGTGAATAAGTCTGGTGCAAGTTTCTCCTGCCATCTTGTGGCAAAATGCAGTAACGCAAATAAAGTCAGCTTTACATACACTTTAATAAGTGATGTGGTCCCACAATAAATACATCTTACAGTCCTGACAAATTCCTTCAAACATGTTCAGTCGACACTTCATAGCTTAATAGTAAATACACACTGTTGTTCATTGGTCACTAATTATTGGTTCTTGAATGAACAGTGATGTTGTCAGCATGACATTAGACTGAAGCAGCATAGTCTTTTCTTCACCACAGTTTGAACCATTTTTGATTCTGGCTTCAGACAAAAGCAAAGTTGGACGGAAACAGGTCTTGTGATGTTACGCCACAGCAACAGCGAAGATACTGACTACACAGTACATGGTGCGGTTCTCCCATCTCACTGTGCAGCTTCCTGAAACACATTTAAACACGAGCTTATTGTACAGTGAGCTACAAAGCTTTATAAATATATTGTTGGACGAGTTCCCAGAAAACAGCAGTATAAAGTAAGCAAAGAATTAAAAAAATTACAGTTTAACGGAATAAGGATAGAATACACCCCTTAGGACATTATTATTTAGTGGGAAATCATTTGTTTATTTTCAGTTTTTTTTTCTCCATAATATAAACTCGTATTTACCGTCTGTAGCAGTGTCCCAGTAACAAGAGTTGGCTGTGTGTAGACCAGCGCTACTCTTTTGCATAATAGTGCAGTTTACTGGAAGAGAGGAACACACTCAGAACAAATACAATATCACAAAATTATTATCATATTTACACATAATACAATACCAATGTATTTGAAGGCTCTTCCTTGTTTTACAAAGTGGCTCAGACAGTGTTCCACGATGCTGGCTGTCCACTGGTTCACTTTGTTCTGGTTATAGTCTGTTCCACCAATCACTCCCTCGATGCACTGCAACAGGAGGCTCATGTATAAACATGTAACATTAATCATGCTGTGTATTTACTTTTGCTACTGGGAATCTCACCTCTTTAACAGGAGCAGTGGCCTCGTCCGTATTAAACATGGCCTATAAACGAAGTTCATATTTGTTAATTGCAAACTATTCGATTCATGGATTCATTTGGCATGTATTCCAAAATATGGAATTTAAATAATCATGAACAACCCAGTTCCGTCCAACAGTCACTGCGAGAGCTGCTCGGGAAAGATAATATACAGAACCAAATAACATTAATTACTCAGAATTAGTTAGGCTAAGTTTAGGGTTTGAGGTCAAAGAGTAGATTCGGCACCGGCCTTGCCAAAGAGGATGTTTGGGACAGATTTGCAGATCGGAAAAGCATTAGCTTCTTTTGCTAACATTAGCATCTCTATTCTAGCTCATGTTAAATAGTAAATATAAGACGGTACACTATGATAACGTTCATTACCTCCTCTCCGGAGTTATATTCCTCCATAGTCAGCCTTTAAAAAACCGCAGTTCGCAGAAGTAGAAGACTTTACTTTTGTAGTTTAGGTTTATTCAATGAAAACACTCGACTTCGTTTGTTGTTTTAAACGACACTAAAACAGCCGTTTGCTCTCACTGCTGCCACCGTGTGGTGGCGACCGTCACTCCCCCACTGAATCATGTCTGCATTATGCATTAGCATCATATGGTTTAGAGACATTTGAACAGAAAGTATCGATTATTTACAGCTTTTAGACTCATATACAACATTTATAAAAGACTCGGGTTTCAGAGTTGTCCCTTCCCGATGCAGGAGGGCCAAGAACAGTGGCCCTTTCATAGAAAGGGCATCGGAGGATCATGTGTCATTATGAATGGTATTTTCCCCCAATTTACTGATAATACCAGAAGACAAAAGTTGTATTTGAATTTTGTATTACGTATAAGCAGGTATAGGTCTATGATCAAGCACAACATGTCTTCCTTGGAATGAAGGGCAAATGACCAAACCTGGTTGTTCCATTGAAGTAAGTAAGTAAGTAAAGTTTATTTGTATAGCGTAAACCAGGGTCACAAAGCGCTTCACACATTAAAACACATAAAATACACATACAAGTCAGATTTAAAAACAAAAACTCAGAAAAACACAGTTTATACAGTTCACAGAGGCCTATGAACAGTGAGGCAAGAAAGCCTGTCTAAACAAATGCGTCTTAAGTTGGGACTTAAAATCCTCAACAGTCTCCAAGATGCGCAGAGACTGAGGAACCCCATTTCAAAGGTGAAGAGCAACTGCCTGGCAGGATCTGTCTCCTCTGGTTTTAAAGCGAGTGCGGGGTACCATCAACAGGTTCTGAGTGGAGGACCTCAGGCTCCTGTTGGAGACATAGGGGTGGATCAGGCCCTGGATGTATTCAGGCCCTGGATGTATTCAGGCGCCTGACCATAAAGAACCCTGAATGTCAACACTAGAATTTTAAAATTGATTCTGTGTGAGACAGGGAGCCAGTGTAAGGACTTCAGGATAGGACTCCAAAAGTGACTCCAAGGTTCCTCAGATTCTTTTTCACTGAGCTACTTAGGTCACCAAGGTGCTGAGTAATGAGAGGCACAATACTGTCTGGGGTTACCACTAAAGTTTCTGTTTTACCAGAGTTCAGCTGGAGGCTATTGTCACTAAGCCATGTCTTTATTCTGTCTAGGCAGTTAGTGAGAGCAACCAGTCTCTGGGGTTAAGAGGGCTTCAAAGAGCAGTACAGCTGGAGATCGTCTGCATACAGGTGGTAGGAGACCTCACTGAACTGCTGGATCAGCTTGCCTAGGGGGAGCAGGTACATCATAAATAAAATAGGCACAAGAACGGAGCCTTAGGGTACACACCACTGTAGGTCTGCGGATTCAGACACCACATTGTTTGAGGACACACAGAAGGTTCTACCTGTCAGGTTAGGGTTAGGGTATGTCTAACCCACTCTAACAGAGAGCCTGACATACCAACCACATCCCGTAGTCTCGAGACCAAGATGCCATGGTCCACCATGTCAAAGGCAGACGACAGGTCTGCCTTCAACAGGACCAGGACAAAACATTTACCGGAGTCAGCAGCCATCATGATGTCCCTAAACACTTTCAGTAAAGCAGTTTCAGTGGAGTGGAACTTCCTGAAACCAGACTGAAAGGTGTCAAAAATAACGTTAGCCTCCAAGAACGCGGTAAATTGATTGTAGGCTAGCTTCTCCAGGACTTTGTCCAAGAGCGGGATCTTTGATATGGGCCTAAAGTTCTGAAGATCTGTTGGGTCCAAGCTGGGTTTCTTTAATTGGGGCTCCATAGCAGCATGTTTAAGAGAACACGGAAACACATCAGTTGAGAGTGACATGTTAAACATTTTAGTACTCGACGGACCGATAGACTCTAAAACATTAACAAAAAGCCAAGCCGGGACAACATCCAGTCGACAACACGACACTTTCATGCACTTTATAGAGGATAAAATATCCTCTTGAGTGACTGACTCGAAGGATGACCAGCTCTGAGGAGGAGGGTCAATGTGAGCTTGACTGGAGGACGGAGAGGAAGGAAGATTGTCTTTAATCTCTCTAACCTTGAAACTCAGTACAACTTGCTCTGCACTGCACAGAAACAGCAGCGGCAGCAGGAGAGACAATAGAATTGATGGTGTCGAAGAGCACCTTGGGGTTTCTCTTATTTGAGACAGTCAACTGATGAAAATATTTTGATCTCGCCTCATCTAATTGATCGGTAAGAGAGGCAACAAGGTCCCTCAGATGCAGTCTGTGAACCTCAAGTTTGGTGGAATGCCACAAGCGTTCGATTTTACGACAGGATCTCCGCAGATTCACAACAGTGTCATTAATCAAGAGATTAATGACACTGTTGATGCTCCAGATGATTAGTTTTAAAAGGAGATATTTGATCCAAGATGGATGTACAGTGACTATTTAAAGAGTACATGAGCTCATCCATTTCGGTGCAGTCATGTACTGTACAAGAGAGTCAAAGCTTTCACAGAACCTTTCTGCAGTAGATTCCGTAATAATCCTCCTCTCTAGTTTAGCAGGTAGAGGGCATGGATCTGAAGACCCCAGCAGATCAAAAAACACACCGTAATGGTCACTTGGGTGCACATCCTCAACACTCACATTGGCCACCTGCAGGCCCGGTGTAAAGACCAGATCTAATGGCCTTTCATGTGAGTGGAGACATGCTGCGTGAAATTAAAAGCTTCTGTCATTGGCCATTGGCCAATTTTCAGTCAAAATAAACACTATTGCAGATACAGGTTTACGAAACATTTTCTTAAATTAATGAATGTTATCAAAGAGTTTTTCGGGGGTTGAGGTTGATTCACATGTATTATTGGGGTGTCTTAATGTCTTGCCCCATTTGGTCTGCTCTTGTGCCGCTCATGATAAGATGCTTTCTCTTTCTGAACTCATTTTTTTCATATTTTTATTTTATATTGAACAGTAATCAACAAAGACACATATAATAAATGAAGGAAAATAGATTATCATAGGGAGAATAATGCAGTCACATAGATGATCATAGGGACATGTCGCCTGACTGTGAGAAAGTGAATTTAACTCAACAATGTTAATCCTAGTTTATCCACTAAGTAAAAGACAGGAGTGATTAGCGTTGGAATGTAACTTTCTTCAGTCTCTCTCCTCTGTCTGTGCGCTGGAGCTGCGCGCTGTGGACGCGGACACCACGCCCCCTGAGTCGGGAACACCCTGCAGCCTGTGGAGGTCCTCTCAGATGTGGAGAGACCGTTCATTCAGCTCCATCCTCCGCACAGAGACACCGCGGACCCGGGGCTCCGCTCGACTGCTCCCGATTAAAGGTAGGACTCCTCTGTGCGCAGGACACTGACTCACAGACAGCATATGGCAGAGCCGCCGCTCTGTCGCGTTTGTTTGTCTTGAGTGTTTATGAGGCAGTACACGAGCAGGATATACCCCGTGGTCATGGGACGTGACTCCCTTCGCTTTTCACACAAAGTTAAGAGTGCTTTGAGCAGGTGCAATGCAGCAAAAGCGACCATTCCCCTCCTCCTGCACGCACCTATAGCCCATTATACCTCATTACAGAGGAATAACTTTGCTGTGTTAGTTCAATTATAACACTGTGTTTTTATTATGGGGTTTCCCCGTGTCGGTTTGTTTCTCAGGTTTTTTTATCAGCAGGTTCATTGGTGCTTTCTCTGACTGTCATTCTAACCCATTAGGGGAATTTCCTCTGATTACTGATTACTCTACCTTTGCATGTTCTTTGTCTGATGTTGCCACTCTCAATGAGAAAAACTTAAAAGCCTCTGTAGTGGCTTATAAGAGGCTGTAATATTAAGACAGGACCTTTACAATGGCACTTTAAGTTAAGAAATACGCAAACACTCTCCTACTAATGTTTTTAGGGTTAGGGTTGATTCAGTAAAAGGTCGATCTGTGTGAATTGGATGTGGTGTGTCGTGGGGTCCCTGTGTTGCCTGCGTGAGGATGGCCATGGAGGCTGTGTTGCACCAGCAATGAGTCATTTATGAAGTTTGCAGATGCCATTTCCAAACTAACTCTGTTTACTCACCTTTATTAAACAAGCAGGAGATATGTGAGTGTAGGATGACATGTTTCATTGTATGATTCCAAAATAGTGACGCCATTGTTCCATTCTGGGTTATATCATTTTGATATCAGATTAGTATTACTGTCCCATATTCACTGAAAGGGCAGTGAAAATACTACACATTTTATTGTCTTTCTGCAGGCATTATAGAATTCATAAAACCAAGTCTTAGCATGTATAGGCTCATGTAAGGTTAAAATGAATTGGCTAAATTGGAAGAGAAAAATTTAACCAATGGATTAGTTGAAATTAAATTGATTGGTTAACTTGTTATAGCCCTTGTATATCATGCTAACAATGCAATGTTAAGAGGATGGAGCCAATAGAAAATTATAAACAAAACCGGAGCTCTCTGAAAAGTCGTGCTCTGCTTCTCAGGGCAATATAGTTCCAGCCTTTTGCAGGGGCTGTTTTATCATTGTCAGGGGCAGGATAATGCCTCCTCCTTGATCATTAGTGAGCTCCTTGTGCAGCGCTTGCCCAGAGGCTGGAGACGGAGTAAACGTCTCAATGAATGAATGAACGCAGGCGGAGGGAGCCAGGATTGCAGGGATTCCCTCATGTTGAAGTGTGCGGGCGGACAGACAGCAGCAGCAGCTCACAGGGGTGCAGTCTCACAGTATGATGTGCGAGGACCCAACCGAGACGAGGCTGCTTCAGTGTTGTGTATGGATAGATAAAGCTTGATGTATTTCTTTTTGCAGAATTTCTTTGAGATTTACCCATATAGGTTTACTGTATCAACTTGATGACCATTGCCTCATTGTAAGAGTCACGAAGGGGTTCCCTATACCTCCCACTCACTCCTTCTTGCACGCTGCATGGGCATTCCGTATTCCGTTCTATCGCCCCACAAAGGCACCCCCCTCATTCGATCACAGCCGCAGCCTGGTGGGGTAGCTCTGCAGAGGAGCGAGAGGGGGGAATAGAAGCACCTTAAAAAACTGAAATGTAATTTAGAGCAGGCACCAGGAGGATTGTCGGAGAGGCGCATGGATCGCTCCCTGATCCCTTAACACAGTCAGATGCAGGGGTGTAGCAGTGTAGGTCAGGGCTGTAAGACTGTGCAAGACTGACATCACTATTTCATTGTCTATCTGAGAGGATTTTCAAACTGGCTTTGAGATGTGTGGAGACGAAGACAGAAAAGATTAAACCCTATGTTGCAATGTACGTAAGCAGTGAGGTCAGGAGCGCCTTGCTGAGCTGCTTGTATATCAATATAATCAATGTCACGTTTCCTATCAATAAACTAACGAAAATATGATGCATTCATGATATTTGTCAAAGCAGACTTGTGTGTGTCATGTTTATAGCGGCTGTCTATGCGTTTCAGGATTGTGAAAAATGAGGGCTGTTGTCATATAGTAAACTAAAGCTAAGGGATTTCAGTCAAAAAATAGTATATGTTTTGAATGAGAGAATGCAGCAACTAACAAGAGTCTGAAACCTGAGAAAGGCTGCGGTTAAATGTACACGCTGGATAATTGGCAAGGGCCGTTGTAGCTGACACTAACTTGTAATAACTGTCATATTAATTCATCGGACCAATTTGTGTATTATGGCCTTCTGAATAAAAGCCACAGCCAAACGTTACTCAGTTCATGTTTTACATAGTGGACAATGTGACACTAATTGGGGTAGTATTTGTAACAAAATGTCCCTTTTTTGAGGTGGAGAGTAAAGCTAACCTTTGGGGAAGATCCACTTTTAAAAGCTTTTAACCACGTTATATGGATTTTTCTTCTTCCCTTTAAGCTGTTTTGAAGTGATTCATTCCATCGTTTTTCTCCCACAATCAAGAAGCCATCGCTCCTCTCAGTCCTCTGACCACCGTAACACCCACAGCTCTTTCCTTTCTCTGTGAGCTTCTGGTGGTCTTAACTTTTGTGTTTCATAGATAATACACACCCAAAAGGATCTTTGTAAAGGCAACACTTTGAGAAAGCAATGTTCTGTCTTCATTTTATCTTTGTCAAACTGTTTACCAGAGTGACTCTTTGGGTTGACAGCTGATTGGCTAAGAGAGGGTGCTTGTTTTTTTTTAACTTTGGCTCATATCTAAAGCTGCACGAGAAGCAGAACAAATATCACTCAATATGATGATGAGTAAACTGTTTTGTGACCCGGGCAAATCAGGTATCCTAGCTTTAATCTGTATGGCATGAATCATTACTCATATGTGATACAGCACTTTGAGTTGCCTTGTGTATGAATTGTGCTATACAAATAAACTTGCCTTGCCTTACAGGCCCTTGTTTACTGGGACAGAACTACATAACCAGCAGATTATTTTGTATATTTCATCATTTTAGATCAATGCTGAGATTTCAAAAATATGTAGTTGATAGCAGTAATGATTACTGTTGGTGTCCGTCTGCTTAGAGACTCTTTATAACAGACGCTGCTGCATGAGACCAGCCGTCAGAGCAGTGTCATTATTCCCTCTGTTCTCTCTCTGGACCTCATGCCATCATTTCGGTAATTCTGATTGTTTGGAGGCTGCACGCACGCTGAGCCGCTGTTGGAACACAGTCACTTCACACAGAATGATGAATAAAACTGTTCAGTCCTGTTGTTTAGACATTCAAATATTTTTGCTATGTTCTGCTTCCTAAACGTTGCTTCTCAGATGAACGATAAGACATATTTCCTGCTTCTGATTTGGTGACTGAAAAATGCCTCTTTATTTTACTTAGAGATAAGGTTTGTGTGAGAGAGACGACAGGGGGTCGGTGGAAACATGCCTGAAGACTTCTAAACAAAGAAAGTGCAAATAAAGAGTATTATTGATGTAAATGTTGAATCGTATATTTTAGCATTTTGATTAAAGATGCCCCTAATATATTTAGCTTGTGTTCAATCATCCGGTCATGATGATTAGATAAAAAATGATTGTTATGATTTATCACATTATTTACTCCAGTGTTCTCCAAACTGAAAGCAGTCACATGACTCACCATCAGCTGAAACTGAGACCAACATGAAACTCTGCGACCTTTATCAGTAATTCTCATCAGTGTGTTGTGTACAGAAAATCAAACAAGAGCAAGAAAGTCTTTCAAATCTTCTCACGTTATTTTGTTTGCAGATTATTCGGACCACTAGGTTTTGTTGGATCATTTCTAAAGGCACACCATTCAGCTTCTCAAGGCACACTAACAGACCACAGTCCACTGGTTGAAAAACATTCATTGGATTCATATTAACTTATTTCTCTTTTTAAATTTTCTTTGTCAAAATTGAGGTCTACTTTTCATACAATTTCAATATCAACCTGATTGATTAATTTTATTCATTTAAGCAGCAATTTAATTTCATAAGTATTTACATTAACATTCTTTAGTTGACATGACCTTTTGTGCTTACAGTATATACATGCACATGAAAATATATAAACATAAATATATAACAAAGCGACAGTCCTAGTTTTACCATGTGTTGGTGTATTTACAATTTTAATTTGTTTTTACAAATCTACAATCTAATCTACAAAATGTCAGCCCGAAATGAAGTGAGAAGGATGTAAAAACTCCCACCCGATATTCAAATACATGTAGTAATTTAGTTATTCAGCATTGAAAAATAGCCTTACAAAGTATTTATCCATCTGAAATCTGCCCCGATCCAGTTCTCTCATCAGTAGTAATGACATCATCTCCAGTGAAGAGGGACTAAAACACTCGTTACAATCATTCCCTTCATAACGATGTGTTTTGTCTTCAAACTGCGAACATGTCACGGGGCCATCGCGGTTTTTACGAGGAACATAAATTAGACATAAGCTCTTAATGAATCCTTTTAAACCTGTTACGGGGCTTCTGATGATTCAACAGCCAATTAAAAAGTTTCAGAAGCGTTGTGACCTTTTGGCTCCAGTTCACAAGAACACAGTGGGATTTATCCTTTCTACGACATGCTCCTTCTGCAGTACACGGACTCTTCGTTTTAGAATTTCCCCAGGTCTGTTTTTGACGCTGGTGTCTGAAAGACATAAAGCTGGGGTACCTAATTTTCAAACCACAACAACATTTAATTATGCAATAAAATCAATCCATCCCTTGCTCTATTACAGTTGGGTGTCATTTTCACATTAGATCAACTTTTTCAGACTGTAGTGACTCATCTGGGCTCGTTCTTTCAAACATTTATTTACTGACCTTTAGTTAAATAAACTAGGAAAGTCCTGGGAGAACAAAGTATGTTCTCTTGCTTGACTTGAAT